ATAAATGCGTTGAAATGACTATACTATGCATTTATTAGATGTAGATTAGAATACGCCACACTCATTTGGAATCCTATTTATAAAATATATAATAATCTCTTAGAGTCCATCCAAAGAAAGATGTTAACATTTTTGTCTTTTATACTTGATGGGGTATACCCCATAATAAGAGGTTATGATTACCATCTTCTTTTGGCGAGATTCAATTTTAATTCACTAGAAACACATCGCATGTTCTTAATAATAAAATTTTTATACAACTTATTAAATAATAAAATAGGTTGTAATTCACTCCTAGGCCAAGTAAATTTTTTTGTTCCGCGTCTCAATTCGAGACAACATATGTTATTCTATCCCAGGGGTGGGATTTTCTCGATCGAAGTGATAAATTATCACTTGCGATAAATGTCACTACGTAGCTTTTAAATGCAAAAGTTTGCATTTATTATTTGCATATAAGCTTATTAACTGCTCAAAAGTTTACAATTACCTTAATTAATTTTAAGAACTAATGACTCAGAATTACGATTTTGAACTTCTATTTTGACATAAATTTCGAGGTAATGTCTCCAAAATTTATCACTTCACTCAGAACTATCGAGAAAAATTCACTCCATGAAGACTTGATTTCGTGAAAGGCCCGCGAAAAATTTAAAAATTCAAGATTTGGCCTTGGTTGTGATCGTCTAACAAATGGGAACCTACGTTGTGTTTTTTTTTTTTTTTTGAAAATTGGCGGGAAGACGTTCTTTCATACAAGTGCATACACTGCGTGTGAGTTGAGAGCACAAGAAATTATAGACAAAATTTAGGGAGAGGCCACAATGGGACCCTTCCTTAGGAGGAAAAGTAACGAAGAACGAAAGGGACTCAGCGTGCCCTTCTGATGACTCCGCAGGGCCAAGGCATCATCGGTCTTCATTCCCCAAAACCCCCTAGGGCTTTATTCACAGATATATTACATTTCAAACACATTAAGATATATGAAAAAAGGACACTCGCGAATTGACAAACATACACATATGAAAAACGAACAAACACAAAATTCTATACGTCTGTTTGGAGTCAATGCGAATATTTGAATATCACAAATTTAATAAAAAAATGAATGGAGTGATATATCACAAGTACAGACGCATCATATTTTGTACATTTTAGATAGGATTTATTCGGCAAACTTTTGAGCTGACGTCATCAAGTTTTTGGAGGGGATAACCAAATATATTTTGACTAAAGATTTATGATGCTCTTTAGAGCCTTAAAACATCTGCAACATTTTAAAACATTCGGGTTAGCAGATTCAAAATTAAATTGCAAAATGTTGTTTTATGATTTTGATTTTTTTTCCAAAAATCTGGACGTTTCGGGTAAAAACTGAATTCGGAGTCGTAAACTACATGTGTAGGACTATGTTATTTTATACAATTTAAGACCCATTTACTATGTACAATTTTGAAGTGACGTCATCGCATTAGTGGTGGGGATGATTAGACAAATTTTGGTTAGCGTTTTACCATCTACATGATATTCCTAATATAAGTACAAATTCACAACAATCGGTCCAGTACTTTCGGAGATTATCTGTCTAATAAAAATCCGGGACGGCAGACTGACAGACGGACAGACGGACAGACAGACGGAAATGGGAGACCTATTTCTTCGTATTCTAGGAGTCATGAAAGATCGAGAAAACGTAAAAGTAGAGAGTCGGCCGACGGACTCGATTACAATACTGCCTTTGCTTACGCTCGGGAAGTAACAAAGCAAAAACTGAATCAAGTAACTGGATGCAAATACACAAGTTGTTACGGGCGTGTGGCGGCAGATTTTAAGGTTACGGCAGTTAACCGGAGCACAACAAAAGTACCCCTGAGGCGTTGTAGCATAAGCGGAGTTTGGGGCTACCGGTCTGGAGCTGTTCTTCCCCCATGACGATGATTCTCTATCACAAAGCCTACCCGCACGCATATTTCCATTACGAACGTGCCCTGCGAAACTAGGCCATTACGGTCGCCAGACCCGCAAGTGGATCTCGACTATTGGTCCAAGTCGAGAGCACTACAACATCGGCGGCCGCCCCTGAATCTATCCAAACCTGTGGGCTTGTAGAGGTCGCCAGCTCGACTAAGAACCGCACTTCGCTTCTGCCACGTTTTCTGTGTCATTTAACCTCAATTCCATTTTTAAATATTCAATCTCCTAGAACTCTCATATTAACAACAACTGAACAAGTGTTAAAGTTTCAAAGAGCAATAAACAACATTTAAATTCGCCATATAATCTTGTGAAATTTTAAACAATAAATAATTCTTATGTGAGATTAAAATTGGACATCAAATAATTTATACGATAGAAAGATTCATCAACAAACTATTTACAAAACAAAACTTAGCAAGAATTTATGAAACAAAAGATCTGGTGTGAAATAAACTTATACAAACAGAAATATTATGTGAGGTTAAAACTGTAGAACATTAAATTTACGTTCAATTAAAATTATACAACAAATAAAACTACTGAAGTTAAAACTGTGAGATTGAGAAATGTTGTATGTGGTGGAAAATTGCAAGTTAACAAAATTTATAGGAGATTGATATTTGCCACACTTTATCAACGGTTCAAACAAAAAGTTTACATTATGTTAAATTATGTCTTGATCTAAGTGATTGGTTACTTCAAGAAAACAATTCACTTTGAGGGTTTAAAATACCGCGAACTGGTTACCCCAACAAAACACATAATAAACAAACACAAAAATATCCAATCATCGCTCCGAGGGAATAAGCGTCTCGGTGATGTAAATTTTAAAATCCTTGCGAGGAAAAAGCATCTTGGTGATGTAGTTAGGGAAATAGACTATAGCTTACGTTCAGGAAATAAAAATTAACAATGATTTCGTTACATGTACACACAGAAGTAGTGTAAGTTGACTACATACCCTGTATAAAATAAAAATACATAGAGTGACAAAACGAAAAGGGCCATCACGTGAGTTGCGCAGTAAAGCAAATTACGTTCGTCGAGTCTATTCATAGCTCTCGGAGGATGGAAACATAGGGCAGTAGCGGCGTTAATTTGTCTTACTTTTGTACTGTCTTCGTATGTCTGGTGCAAGGGTTTTGTGTCTCCTATTTTTTAAATTATTATTATTTATTTTGTCACTTTGTATTTATTAGCAAGAAGAATTTTGTTTAATAGGGTCCTCAGAGCATTTATTACTTTAATTACATTTTATGATAAATCAGTCACGCCACTGGTAAGAGATAGGCGCGTATCTGAACTTGCACCCAAGTCAGCTTTCGTCCTGCTTGGCACTCTACCTACACTGACCGGCAAAAGAAACCGGCCAGCCCGCAAAAATTTCACAAAACCCCTTTAAAAAATATTAATTTAACTAGTGATTGTTAATTTATTAAAGAACCATTCACTATTGATCTACAAATTAGCAAAAAAAGAAGACAAATAAACGCAGAATTAAATTTAATTTAACAAAATAACAGAAACATACCAAGTACGAAATTTTCTCAATTAAAACAACAAAGGAGGTTGTTGTAAACAGTGTTTGCGTCATTTGATTATAAGTTTGGCAGTTAATAAACGTTTTCACGCGGAAACAATGCCGTTAACTCTTACAGACGTATCTCAAATTGTCGCTCTGTTTCTGTTATTTTGTTAAATTAAATTTAATTCTGCATTTATTTGTCTTCTTTTTTTGGCTAATTTATTCATCATGTGTCAATAGTGAATGGTTCTTTAATAAAATAACGATCACTAGTTAAATTAATAATTTTTAAAGTTTGGCTTTACGAAATGTTTCAGGGTGGCCGTTTTTTTTGCCGGTCAGTGTATATCAAAAACGACCATTATTTGCTGGTCTGTAATTGTAATGAGAAACCACTTTGGCACTTTTTCACTAGCCTGTGAAATATGTTTCGAGTGTTTCTTGAAGTGTCTTGACACTAGAAACAACAAAATATTGACACAATTAGATAATCAACGAAAAGGACGCTGCTGTTAATATGCAAAAGAGTTAACACAATACAATTCACTTGTTTTTAAAGAATAAAGAAACAGCGGCACTTTAAAATAAAACTTGAAAATATTTGCGATGTATGCGAAAATCTACATTTTCAGAACCACAGAAAACGTGTTAAATAATAACTACAGAAATAAAAGTAAAATGTTTATTCATCGACAATAATATACAACAAAAACGTATCACATTTCTTCGCAAATCTTGCACCAGCGCTTCCCAACCCACCTCAACCGTCGAATCTGCAACCAAAACGTTAGTACACACACATACAAAATAAATTACACAACGGAATGACGCCGACGACCTTCCAGCACTTTTTTAATTGCTGACATAGCTTTAATTCAGTTAAATTTCTACTAAAGCCACATCAACAACTCAAAACTTGCCAGCATCTACTTTCCGACGAATTTTCCATACTTCCAGCGAATGTTCGATCTAGTCACAAATCGAAAGCATGCGACTCGATACGAACATCCGAAAAAAATATGAATTTTAGAACTTCTCTCTTCTTTGTTGGTTTCGTTGATTGTAGCCACCACTGTGAAGTAACTAATGGCTGTGATATGATAAAAAACAACAAATCACACCAATAGTTCCTCCACAGTAGCGGCCTTCGGGGCTCTTGGAGATAGTACGCACTATCAGGTCTTGGCGACTTAGTCGTGTAATTTTAAATCACTCACACGGCTAGATCACCAAAGAACTGATAATACACATGAAACACCACAAACAATATATATAAAAAATAAAACACTATGATGGTGAGATTGTAAAGTTCATAGTGAGTACCGTTCGTACTACGGTTGAAAATGCGTCCGCACTTGCAGTACCCACTACAAATCCTTTACAGACTTTGTGACTTTAGTGTAGATAAATCTCAACATCAATTGTGAGATAATTCCGTACTACTTTTGAAAAAACAGCAGGGACGGAAAATCACACAAGAGATATTAAGAAAATGATGCACGAGTTAAAAAATATTTACTCACCAAAATATTTACAAAAACAAAGAAATTAAACCCCAAATAGCCGGCTGTTCGATCCGTACTATGAGAGCGCAACTACATAGTACAGAAAGAACCAGCCGTGATTTACGAGTTTATTACAAATCAAACTTCACAAACTTCAAGGGAAATTTTCGGTCACCACACGTCAATACTTCCATCTGTCGCAAATCCGAAATGACGCGAAAATATTCCCTTGTGAGATCTTATATACTACTAAAGCTTAGGGTAGCGGGTGGTAGATGGAGTTGGGGGGAAACACAATCCTTGCAGGTAAATTTAAAACGTAACCAACGAAAACAATGCTACTCTAAAATACAAAGAAAAAGGCAGAAAAAAACAAAAGAAAGAGAAATATTACAGATAAAGACTGGAAGAAAAAACAATGTCTCTTTTTATTAATTTGATCGAAGTGTTAAATTTGTCTTCCAAGTCTGTGTTCCCGATTGTTTTCGATGCCTGCACCATTTGTCGCAACAACTCCTCTAATCTACGCATACATCTAACTATCGACCCTTCGAAAATTTCCGTCATTTTGCACAACTCGCTAAAAGATGCACCGTTGCACCAGGAAAAGACAACGTCCATTAAAAATGGTTTGAAACGCTCAACATAGGAATCTTCCTCTAGCGGTATACGGGCTTCGGTACTTACTTTTGCTATTCTTCGAGCAAGTTCCTGTGAAAAATTAAGGTTTACACTCATCACTAGTTCTTTATGTTGACTGAGACGGTTAAAGCGCGTCTACAGCAAGTGTTTCAATCGTGATAACAATGGCGGCCTTTTTGTCAAAAAATTAAAGAAAACAACTGTAATTCTGTATTGCCGTTAGATTCCTAACGCGTTCCCGTAAGCAAAGTCCGAAATTGTATCATAATCGAATCAACGTAATGCAGTATTTGCGATTAGACTTTAAAGTGTAGATAAAAAGATTTAGAAGTATTGATCATCTCTAAAATTTTATCAAATTTGCAGCAATCTCGACAGTTGTAGACAAATTTATCTTTTTATTGGTACGACCTATAAAAATTAATTAAATTTGATTACGAAAATAATTTTTTTCACTAGCAGCCTGGACGCATGCAAATGCCGACTCATTTAGTGGTAGCAAATTCAACTTTTGCTACCACGGGTTCAAAAAGAAAAATTGAGGTTATGTACGCAATGTTTGATGTGATTATTTCTTAAAAAATGAACAAATGTGTGCTACAAACATTACTTGAGTATACGCATGGTAGTTGGTAGACGGTAGAAGATAAAATGATTAACTCAGCGACAAGTATAAACGGTTTTCTTTGTGTTGAAGATTTAGATCAAGTTTGATTAGAAATCAAAACAAAATCACGTTGCGTCAAAAAATTGAACGTTTATTTTTCAGTTTATTGTCTTATGGTTTCTACTAGTGAAAAAAATAGTATATTAACCACGGTTGCAAAGCCACTTCTAGACCTCGCACTTAGAGCCCTCGACGCTGCGCGTCTCGGGTTCTAATTTGCGCTCGGTCTAGAATGCTTGGCTCTGCAACCTTGGCTAATAATATACTATAATCGTACCTTCAAACCCAAAACTTTTAAAATCATCGTTTAATTAAATGGGCAATTAAAATAGAGTGAAAAAAACTGTTCTAAGGTAATTTCGCACCTGAAGTACATACAATGAAACATATCCATCAATTGAACAAAACTAGGAGTATAAAATTTGCTTGCGAAATGTAAAAAACCGTGCTACGCTATGTTTCAAATGAGTTTTTACTTTTAATGACATCATCAATTTTTGTGGAGAAATAACAAATATATTTTGATTAACAATTTACCATGCTTACAGTAACTTTAAACCGTCTGCAAGCTTTCAGAGCATTCGGTTTTGCAGATTTTTCAAAAATCTTGACGTCTCGGGTAAAAGTCAACTCGGATTCATAAAATACATGTGTAGGAGTGTTATTTTATACAATTTAAAACTGATTTATTATGTAATTTACTATGTACTATTTTCACGTGACGTCACATTATTTGTGGGGATGATTAGACAGTTTAGTTAGCATTTTACCATTTACATGATATTCATAAAATTTGAGGACAATCGGTCCAGTAATTTCCGACATTGTCTATCTAACAAAAATCGTCACGGACGGTGGACAACTGGACAGACAAACGAAACGGGAGATCCATTTTTTCGTACTCTCGGGGTCATGAACCATGACAAAATAGTCCAGTCGCCCGATGGACTCGATTACAATACTTCCTTAGCTTACGTTCGGGAAGTAAAAAAACGAATTAATACCAACTAGATTTTTTTACAGTATTTATATTCGTTTTGGGGTTCATCAGAATCAATAGACTTTATTACTTCAAAAGAGGAACAAAAAATAATAAAAAATACCGGCTGCCTTATACATATTTTTCAATGCTTGTATGTATTAAATTGCCCAAAATTAAAATGTTGAAAACCGATTTTCTTTAATTTTTTTCAATAAAAAAAAGTTTGCATAACTTTTCAAACTAATGTCCCATTTGTTGGCTAGTGCCGAAGGTTTTGAAAATGGTAAAATGTGAAAAAAATTAGAACAGAATGATACCCATTGTATAAGGAAGAAAATATAACAAAAATAAAAGGAAAAATAATTTACGGGCGATCTGAAGTCGGGAAGTGGAAGGGAGTGAGCTTTTAAGGGTAGAAAACGGTTTCTCACGATTTCCGACAAAACTAGACGTCCTATCGAAAATAAAAAGATCTACAACGTTTGTGTTTACACTTTTTTAACATAACCTCAAAATTTATGCGAAAAATGCAAATAAGCGAGTTTTTGGTTTTTTATTTTAATCTCCCACAAAAAAATGTTTTTTTTTTTCACTAAATTTGGTGAAAACTTACCTATTTATGTGCCAAACTGACTGTAATTTTTTTATTCAAGATATTTATTTTTTCCCCTTATTTTGATTTAATATCGAAAAAGCAACCTAATTTTCAATCGAAAATTCTTAGTCAAAATATCTGCTTTTTCAAAAAAATCGGTGTGCTTTTTGTTCATTGAAATCTCTACTTTCTGATGGTGTGGTGTTTATTAAAATTTACACTCTAATTATGGAGTGTGACGATAAAAATCGGTAAAATTCAAAATTACACAACGGCTTTATTTGAAAAGGTAATTATAATTTATTTCTTTATTTTAATTTGATTTTTCATTTAACTACCAAAATATTCACTAGAAATAATTTATATGGCAAAACAACGTTTGCCGGGTCGGCTAGTTAGACGATAAAAATTTGTCAAATTTGGGCAATATTTCTTATAAAAAACATGCAAACAAAGAAGATATCGCAAAGAATGGATTACAATTAATCAAATCGATTATTTTATAAATGTAAAAATGACAATATAACACTGAATCAATTAAGATTTCGAAAATCAATTGGCAAGAACTAAATCATCTTTCAGATTGGCAAATCTCCCACCAACAGAAGGCATGGATTTGCAATTTTTTAGTTTATCAATGTAACATGGAATCTTACTTTTTTCGAATAAATTTTAAAAATTTAAATAGCCCCAAATTTTACATGATGATTAAAAAAAAAAAAATTCGAATTCGAGTTTTGTTTTTCGTGAACATTTTCCATAGTAATATGTATTTTTTTTACACCATCAGATTTCAACGAACAAAAAGCACATCGACTTTAAAAAAAAAGCAAATATTTTGACGTGAGAATTTTCGATTGAAAATTTTTGTGCTTTTTCGATATTAAGTCAAAACTGGGGAAAAAAACAAATATTTTGAATACAAAAAATTACAATGAGTTTGGGACATAAAAAGGTAAGTTTTCACGAAATTTCGTAGAAAAAAAATTTGTGGGAGATAAAAATTAAAAAAAAAAAAAAAACTCGGTTACTTGAATTTTTCGCATAAATTTTGAGGTTATTATCCATTCACAATCTTTATACAGCCTGTTACAAAAAAGTACATTAATTTTAACTGGTAATAGAACTAATCCAAAGCAATTAAATTTGTAAATAACATTTTTTCGTAAACCCTTTCGTGATTGAGTTAAAATTAGTCAAAGATTTAATACAAATTCATCTACCCGCCCATGGCTAACAAAGCAGTTTCTTGCGGAGAGGGATAAGAAATGAACAGAACACGGAATAAAAAATGTAAACATTTCAATGCAGGACTAACAGGTAATGGAGACCTACCTGACCTGACCTGACCTGACCTACCTTGAAATCGCCAAAACTTCATAATAAATGTTCAAAATGGCCACGATTATTGTCTAGTCAACACTGAAGACGGCGGCGAAATGAGTCTTTGACTCTTTGTAACATGATTTCATTGTTTCGAATTGTTTCAGCAGAACGTATCACTCGTTCCCGCAAAATGTCAAGAATACCAAAATTCTTTATGCTTACATTGCATTTCCATACTAGCACCATGTCCGTGTATTCACTGTTCGAATAGCGGGGCATAACTTCACACAACGAAAAGTGAAAACACCGCAAAGCAAAGTCGAAAAGGAACTAACTGTTTTGAAGCTGATAAAACGTTATCGCTAACCAACTCGCCAAAAAATTGGGTAAAAACACTTTCCACCTGATGCATCGAAAGTGAAATTTACGGTCAACATTGAAGAAATGCATGGCCGGCTCGTCAAATAATGGGGGGTAAAACTATGACAAAAAAATTCGTTTTTGAAAAAATGCCAAATAGAAAAATGTTTTCTGTGGACGAGTTCTGTTCGTGGTTAAATTTAATGCACTTTTTTCTGTAACATGTTGTATAGTAAAGTATTTGATGATTTAGTGTTCAGTCTGTCAGTAGTCTGATTGACATTTGCTTTGAGCTGGACTGCCACTTTTCAACTTCATTTAGGCCCAATTCCACACCTTCTGCTTAAATGTGACCCTTAACAAAGTATCACTTAATATGTAAGTGAGACTTAAGAATTAATTGCTTTCCACAGTGTCATATTTAGTAAAGTGTCACTTATCCGTAGCTAATTTCATTAAAAACATACGTTCCGAAGAGATTCGTTTTAATTGGTTCGTTCAAATTTGACGCTTTTTTGGCAGATCCGTACGTGTTTGTCACCCTTGTCACCAAAGTTTGGCACATTTTTTATTACTGAAATAGAAGCGGTAATATAACATGGAAGCCACTTCAAAAGTTGAAATTTGGCTAGAATAGGTAGTCTTTATTTTGTTTATACCACAATGTTTGCTGACAACGTTTCTTATTAGAATTTTAGTTTTGTTACAACTAGAGAGCGGATTTCTAGGTTTAATGCTTTTTGTGAAAAATGTAAGCACTTCAAAACTTTTTTATATCTGTAACTATGATACAATTTGGAGTCATTTGACACATTTTTTTTATGCTTATTTGCTTTTTTTTCAATTTTATGCATATTAAAACTTATATGCTTATTTAATGCTTTTTTCGACGAATCTGAGTTTTATTAATGCATATTTTGTTCAAATGCCGGCCTTGTCGGAATGACAAATACTTGTTAGTTAGCCGTATCGTATGGTATGCATTTTACCTGGACTTGTGGCCTGAAGTATACTATCCTCAAACATATTTGGCGTTTATGACTTCACACCACTTTGACTTAATTCAATAGGCCGTCACAACCGGATGTCTTAAACCCGCTCACCGATACCTACCTGGAAAGACCTTTTCTGGTAAAAGCACAGGGCAGGACTGAGTTTTGCATTTACCGACAACTGCGCCTTTCGAGTTTTTTATTTTAAGTAAAAACAAAGTAACTTTGTACTCAATCATTTTTTATTACAGCACAACTATTTACTTATTAACTACTACTGCTTATTTATTGATCGAAATAGTCACTGTAACGGTGTTATCAACCGTGCCCTGTACTGGTCTTCTTCTTTTGTGGAATGTCGTACACAATTGGCCCACATTTCGGCAGTTATTTTGGAAGCTTCTTCCCTAATTATGTCAATTGTTGCACTACTAAATTTTGGTGCCGTATTATTCCTTCTTATATTATTTTTCATTTGCGGCCAGATTAGTTCGATGGGGTTAAATATACAATGGTACGGCGGAAGTCTAATCACCCTAAATCCACGATCTCGCGCCATTGCATCTATTTTATATTGTTTCTCAAATTTTCGAGTGTGTAACACTTCTAATAATTGTGTATTTGTGTAATTTTCTTCAAAGTATAAATCATGCTCTGTAAGGAAATTTTGAAATTTGAAAATTTTAACAAACAAAATTACTCTGAGTCCGGTCCTTCGCGTCTCGACCGTCCCTGGCACGTCGAAAAGGTCTTTTCAGGTAGGTATCAGTGAGCGGGTTGTGACGGCCTATTGAATTATAATGGGAGTCAAATTGGTGTGAAGTCATAAACGCCAAATATGTTTGAGGATAGTATACACTTACTCAAGACCACAGACTACCCCCTCAAGACCCTTTCTGTGAATAGGTTCCGGTCGTTTGGGTAATAAAATTTTATTATAGGATTGGAAAAATACTCCATAGATTTTATGACTTTAAATCCTTACTTCTTTTTCGGCATTTTGCGGCAAGACCGTTGAAGATTTTCTAGAAAAAAGGATTATTGTACCCAACTACCTACCTTAAAATTTTTCTAAGGGAAACTTTTAAGTAAATGAACCGTTTATTTCACAACCATCAGTCTATCGCATCTGTCGTAGTACAGTGTTATACGTGGTTCTCCCTTGTTACATGCTGAGTTCTTTTTGGTAATATTACTAATATTTTAAAAGAATGCCGAAAGTAAAATCGACGCCGGATGAGTGGATAATGGATTTTCCAGAATTAAAATTAGAAAACAACAAAATATTCTGCAGAGCTTGTGTGAAAACCATAAGCCCACTAATTTTTTTTTATCTATTTTCCTTTGTTAATCCTATATATGTACGTTGTTTTAGATTCAAAGTGATAAAAAATATAACGTGACGCAACATGTCAGAACGACTCTTCATGTAGAAAGGAAGAAAATGTTTGAAGTTTCTAAAATTAAACAGCAGACCATACATGAATCTGTTGCATCTACTTCCACAAAAGATGAGCAGTTTCAGTTTAATTTCGATTTATGTAAAATGATGATCCAGCCCAATATACCTTTAAAAAAATTGGAGAAAGGCACTCTTCAAGAATTCCTTGAAAAACACTGCAATCGACATATTCCGGTTGAAAATACTCTCCGAAAAAATTATGTAGGCCCAGTGTTTCAGCAAGTTTACAACGAAATTAAACATCGCATTGGAGATAATTATTTATGGTTCGCTGTCGATGAAACAACCGATAGTTGTGGAAGATACGTGGAAAGTTTAATTTTTGGAATCTTAAATGAATATTTCCCTAGTCGAGGGTATGTAGTAAGTTTGAAAATGTTAGAAAAAAACAAATGGCAATACGATTACCAGATTTGTAAATGACAGTCTTACGTCACTACTTTTGCCAAATGCGATACCGGCGAATAAAATTTTATTGATGATCTCGGATGCAGCTCGTTATATGTTGAAAGCAGGGAATAATCTAAAAATATTGTACCCCAATTTAATTCACTCTACTTGCATTGCCCACAGTTTAAACAGAGTGGCTGAAGGAATACGTTTGCAGTCTGCTACTGTTAATAAATTAGTGGCAAATGGTACTAAGAGTGCAACATTTTAAGGAAAAATTTCCAAACATACCATTGCCCCCAGAGCCGATTATAACGAGGTGGGGAACATGGTTACAGGCCACATTTTATGACAAATATATCAAAGAATTTGAGGAAGTAGTTACGGAGTTTAGCGAAGATTCTTTTCAATCGATTAAATATTGCATAAATATTTTGGAAAACAAAGATTTGCGACAAGATCTAGCTTTTCTAAGAAGCAATTATCAATTCGTATGTGAGGTAATAAAAAAGTTAGAAAAACCCAACATGTTGTAGATAGATGCCATAAACTTGGTGAAAGAATTTAAACAACAAGCAAATGCAGTAAGGGGTGATATTGGTACTAGAGTATCTCAAAAACTTGACGAAGTGTTAAATAAAAATGCAGGTTGCGGTGTTCTTTCCGACGTGCTCGTGTTTTACAAGGCCAAAAGGTGGAAAATTTGGAGTTAGATTCAACATTAGTTGCAAAATTCAAATTTGCGTCAACAACGAGTGTCTCCAATTTTAAACACATTTTAAATGATCGGCGAAAAAATTTTACAGTGGACAACTTGGAACATATTACAATCATAAATTGTTTTAAAGAAAACTGAAATACGTGTGTAAAATATAAAGTCTAGGATTATTGTAAGAATATTTTATCCAAAGTTCTAAGAAGTGTTCTTTGATATGTAATATGATTATGTTTTTAATGCTTTTTTGCTTAAAATAAAACTTTTTTAATGAAAGTGTTATGCTTATTTAATGCTTTTTGCTTAAAATAAAACTTTTTTATTGAAAATGTTGTGCTTATTTAAGCGCTTATTCTTAATTTTTTTGTGCTTATAAATCCGCTCTCTAGTTATAACCCATATCTTTTTTCGATACAACAAGAAAGGGTTTTTTTGGTTCATTTCAGGTCATTTACTGTAAAATTAAGATGGACAGCGTAATAGTTCTAGCCACATTAGGAAAGGAGGATATCTCATAAAATACATTTTTCGTTAACTGTACATCATCTAAATTTCTTGGGAAGTTTATATATTGTGGTCGCAATTGAACATTTGCATGATATACTCATTACACAGGTTCACAAATGATTTCAGTTACATCTGATATAATAATAATAATGTGACTATTTGGCGAATAAAACATCTGTGGTATTAGCAAATGGTTTATTATTGACCAATACCTAGAAACAAGAATTACTCAAAATCATACAGCTGATATTTAAGCCATTGTTAAAAGTGATATTCACAAATCACTTGGAAATTCCAAAAATTGTCTATTTGGTCTATTTGTGGAAGGAGCCCTAGAACGGCTAAATCGATAAATATGAATGAAATAAATCAACTCGATTCCTAATTTTGTCTAGGGACTCCGTGTTGGATAATTTCCATTATTTTAATATCGTCGTCGAACGTATCAGCGTCTATGTTAATGGTATATCCATTTTAGTCGAAACGTTTTGTTAATAAAAAATTTTCAGTAAAATTGCACAATAACATGGGATATGAGTTTATTAGTTAGGTCAAAAATTATTCCTTAACTTAGTTAAGTGCCACTCATTCTGAGGCTTAAAATAATTGGAACTACCTTCAATTTTTTTTTTATGTAAAAAAAGTATAAATATAAAAGTTGTAGATCTTTTAATTACCTACAACTTGGCCATCACCTTTTTTCGATAGGACTTGTAGTTTTGCCGGAAATCGTGATAAACCGTTTTATACCCTTAAAAGCTCACCCACCTTCCACTTCCCGACCTCAGAACGCCCTAATTATTTTTCCTTTTATTTTTGTTATATTTTTTTCCTTTTCCAATGGGTATCATCCTGTTCTAAATTTTTTTGGTCTCAAAAATTATCGGCTATTTATAGTAATTTAATTTTTTCATGACGTACATTCTCATCCATCAAATGGACGTACGTTATCACACACGCAATAATACCATGATTTCTACAAAATGCGAATTATTACATTGATTTTTAAAAATATCCACTATTTGATCGTTCGTAATCTTAAACAATCAGGATTCGACTTTCACGTCCGAGTGAACAACGACTATTCAAATTATTCAAGCTCCCAGAAATACGTCACTGAAAGATTTACAGCTGCAACAAAAGTCAAGCTTTGTAATATTCTAGTCTGCAAATTTGACTTTGCCGAGGAAATGTCCAGTCTGAGAGCTTGCAATTTATCCACCATAAACCACCAATTTAGGTGCCGCCAACCCTCCGGGCAAGAAAGAACCGTTACAAGGACGAAATGCAATGTGGGCGGAATGTTTCCAAACAAACTGTACTTCAAGCACTCACTGAAATTGACATCATCTATGCGCAAAATTTTAAAATGACGTCATAAACTTTTTGGGGGGGTTATCAAATAAATTTTGGATAGTTTTTAATTATCTACACGATATTTTTAAAATATACACCAAATTTGATTCAGTAGTTTCGTAGATAATCTGTCTAATAATAAAACTGAAACGAAAGACCTAAACAAATTAACCACTCGTCAAACAGTATAATATATAATAAAACAATAAAAAAAGTGATTTAAAATTGTTTTTTACAGCTCGAGTGAGTTTTCCAAAAAATTGTGTTACTGAAAAATTCAAACACGAAGTCATTTCCGCCCAAACTGATATCAAACGTTACAATTTAACGCAAAACTCACCTGCATTTGTCTCAAAGGACCGGATAACTCTTCCGACAATTTCGGAACTTCGTTAACCCTTTCGTCGCAAACAAAAGTGCTCAAAAGGGCACACGCTTGTGCCGGCGATAAGTTCCCAAACACACCATTAAAAATCATCTCGGTGATTAGCAATTCGTCGGCACTGCAACACACGACAAAATAACAAACCCCCTTTTAAAAAAAGCCGAAAGAATACCTGCTCAATTCACAGGCCACCCTGCCCTTCAATTGTATGACATCCGTATTGGTGCAATAACCTAGCCTTCTTAATACTCTTTTACGGCATTTCAATTCATCAAGTTGTAAAACAGACTTCGCCTCTAGCAGTTTTTGGCGCGCAACGGCCAATTCTTCGGAACATTTGATTTTTTCTTCGTATTTTTTGTATTCGGTGTCCAGAAGGGAGTGTTTGTGTAGAGGGTGGTCATACATTCTTAAAAATGATAATGAGTGTTTTGTTTTCAGAGTTTTTAAACAAACGTTACTTTTTTTCGAGTTGTTCGATTTTTTTGACGATGTCTACAAAGTCGGGTTCGGTTATTTTCATATCGTCGATCGGGTTGAGCAAAGGCGGGCCTTCCGGGAATCGCTTTTTTACCTCTTTTATCGACTTGTAGACGCCTTTTCGGCTGTCTTTTTGGCGCAAATCGTTGGGACAATACAGGCGAACGGATGATATGTGGGTGATTAAGCTTGATTCGACGCTTACAATTTCCACTTCTCCTTTCTTAAAAACGAGACAAATTAATTACCGCAGAACTTCCCACCGAACTGAGTTGTAAAAAGTTGACAAGCTCATAAATTTTGTCGGATTTACAGGCGACTGTAAGGATTGTAAACAGTTATTGTAATTACCTGGCCGTCCAGACAGGGTTTAGGAATTACGTCTTTGTTGTCGGAAGCATCTTCAGCCATCACGTGTAACAACAAATCCACCTGTACCTTTGTCGAAGTTTTGGCGGGATTTGCTTTTGCACCCCTTCTACCCGGTACCGTCTCGCTGACTTTTTTGAAATTAACCACGGCTCCCCAGTCGTACTCGGTGTCTTGGATTTTGATCTGGAATTTAGGGAAGGATGTTAATTTGGGGTTTCCACGGCCATTTTTTTTATCGTTGTGTGGGCTGGAACTTTTTCATGAACTACTAGAGGCTGACACCGGTTTTTCCGGGATTCTATTCTAAATAACAGTCATACCCAGGTAGAATTTTAAACACAATGGTTTCGTTTTGAGAGAAATAATGGAGTTGTCGTCTTTTTGTGCGAATTTGTGCGCTTGTAAAGCTGTATTTGTTGCGAAAACGTGTATTACATAAACAGGAATTAGAAAGTGACCAGATGATTTCTGTCGACAATCAAAAATAATTTTCTACAGTTTGTGCGAATTTTTTATTCAGATCATAAAATATTAATTGATGTGTTTGTCTGATTCATATTTTTTCGTTATTACAATTCACTTCATTACAAATAACGATATCATAAGTGACACGAAAGTGTACAAATGTATAAAGGAGATTATTAACGTTAACAAAGTGATTTGGAACAAAGCAGATTATTCTGTACTTTAAAATAACAATTATTACATATGAACGATTCATATTTAGTTTCACTTTATAAAAGATTGATTTGTTAATAATTCCTTCATCGTTTGATTTACCATATATTGTGATGTAAATAAATTGGCAGTTCGCTGCCCTAGTTATGACGCTATACTTTTTGTGAAAATCAGGTAGTAGTATTGTTTTCACAATGTATGCAAAGTTAGGTAACTCATTTTTTATTGATTTAATTGTTTATGGTATGACAGAGTTCGGTGTTTTACGACATAATTTTGTCAAAAAAATAATTTTCGATTTACGAATATTCTGCGACGGAATTACTGCACATTTTATTTCATTTTAATAAATTTCTTTAATTACGAACATGAAATACTCACCTCAAAGCTAAAAGTGAATATTGTATAAATCACAAAAGAAAAATCTAAAAACGTTAAACGCTAACTTCGCCAATAAATTATGTGATTAGATATGTTGATGTAATGAAAGAAGTGTTGTTTTGTTTTGTCTACATTTTGTTTTCAAATGAGTCAATGTGGTGAAAAACACAATTTATCATCAGTACGCTTAAATTATCGGAGTAGATGTTGGCATTCAGTTGATAGCGTCTACAGAAATTCAATTCAACAACACAATGAAAACGTAAAAAAAATAAATCGTTATCGAAAATCTTAAATTGTATGTGATACAGAAGGAAGCTCTCTGATAATGCTGGTTTCCAGGTTTCAAAAACAGAATGTAATAAAACGTACACAAAATTCAAGAATGTGGATCGTTTTTTATTATTTTCACAATTACGCCGACGTTTCGAGAGCAGTCACCTCCCTTTCTCAGGCTTTTATTACATTTAAAAAATGCAATTTTGTTCGGTAACGTTATTACGACCCGCACTTTTTTTTTTGGCAGACCGCCATAAAGTTTTAATTAGCAATTTGCATATAACAAGCTTGAGAAAAAGAGAAAACTGTAACCGAAATGTGGGCGTTCTAAAAATAATAATAAACAAATCACATTCCTGAAATGTGTTTCCGTATTTTGTTCAACAATAGAAAAAAATACCGTTGTGAATTATTTTAAAAACAAAAAAAAACTAGCGATTTATAAAAGCAATAAATCAATTACAAAATTAAAGACAAGTGCAATTTCAGAGTAGCAATAACTTGAAATTTAAATCTGTAATTAATTTTAATTAAGCAAATTTTACAGAGATTTAATCTGTAACGACACACCACGTTTCTAATTTTCTTTTGGAAAGTCGTTATACAGTCTTGGATTATAATTTTACTGAGCAGGACCGGAGGAGGTAAGTTGTCTCCCAAATGTACAAATTTCTAAAAACCATAGGTAAGTTGTCTCCCGACCTCAGGTAAATTGTCTCCCGCACCCAATCCTCCATTAGGGGTGGTTTAGTTGTTAATAACACCTCCTACCCTTAATTTACCTGTTTTCAAATTATTGAGTTGCGATTTAGCAGGACTTTTATAGATGTTTTGAATAATTTTCAAGTAAACTCGTATATTAGACAAAGAAGTGCAAATCAAAGTGAAGTCATTTATGATAAGAAATATCTAGAAAGAATTACCTTCTTAGAAGAAAAAATTGAAAACTCATATAAATATAAACCTAGAAAAATTTGAGATTATAATGTTTATTTTTTAAAATAGAATTCAAATTGATGTAAATAAAACAAAATTTTTTACTTTTACATATGTACCTGGGTATCAAGTGATATTTTTCTAAATAAGTGTACATATGGTTTTTTTGTTGACTTAGATTGTAGATTAATCCATATGCTATGTAATTGCAAAATAATTGTAAATGTTACAAAAAAAATTATTTTTGACTCTTGCATACGTATTAGGTACATGTGCATCAATGTGATATTTTTGTAAATAAATGTATGTTATTTCTTCCTTGGATTAGATTGTAAATAAATACATATATGTACATACTTGTGAATTAATTGTAAATGTTATACAAAAAAACATATTTTCTGTTCTTATTGTAAATGTACCTGTGTACCAATGTGATATTTTTGTAGATAAATGTATACACATATTTTTTTATTGGCTTAGGTTGTAGATAAATACATAATTATATGGATTTGTGAATTAATTATAAATGTTATACAAAAAAGTATAATTTGGACATGCGCATAACTTATTTGTGGCGTGGATGTTACATCTACTAATTCTTTTCAATAAAAACAGTTTTTTTTTTGGTGAAGTACATTCTTGTATATTATTGCACAGTCTCGACGGTGGCGCCCATTAGCCTTAATCCGTGTACCTGCGTAGCCGGGAGAGAATTTACCTATACCTTTTTGTCACCTTGACCACTGGGAGACAACTTACCTACAGCCAGCAGGACACCTGCAGTGAAGTCTTCTCGTAACTGTAAAAAAGGATTAATCCCCAGTTATGCCCAAAGAAAGGACGAAAAGTTATGAGCAGATTCTGGCTGGTACCTGGCAATTTGTTTGACTTTAACGAACAGTTTAAAAATAAATAAATAAATAAATAAATAAATAAATAAACAAACAGAAGAAATGTTACAGAATTCGGAACTAGCGTTTCTAATTTTTCTAATTACTCTGTTAATAAAAATTGGTCGAAAGCTGTTTCGACAGAACTTCCCCCGCACCTAAAATACAGTGAAACATTCAGCATTTTTGAATTGAGTTTTTACTTTACAGAATTTTGTAGTTTTGCAGTTTTATCTTAACAAATACTAAGCCCGCCCACCCGCCCCCTATTTTTCCAGAGGATAAATAAATACATACGACTTATGTTAGCAAGTACAAGCCCCGCCCACCGGCCCTTTATTGTCTCAGAGGGTAATACTTGCTAAGATAAGGCTTATTTTGGCAAACGGCATACCTTCTGAGAAAATAGAGGGCGGGTGGGCGGGGCTAATACTTACAAAGGTAAAACTTATTTTGGCAAATTACTTAAACTCTGAGAAACTAAGGGGCGGTGGGCGGGGCTAGCACTTGCTAAGATAAGATTGATTTTGCCCCTATTAAACTTGTAAAAACTTGTTAAATTTAAAAGGTGTTAAATTGCATAGTAACGAGTTAAATACATAAATCTGATTGGGTATTTATTTTTTAACAACTCAGTAATTAATTTCTCTGAGACACCCTGTATAAGCAAATTTAAAAAATAAATCACAAGTATAGACTCACATTTAGGATAGGATATATTCAGCAATATTTTGACGTGACGTCATCAATTTTTAGGGGGGGGGATGAGCAAATAGATTTTGATCAAAAATTTACGATGCCTTTGATAACATTAAAACATCTCCAAGACTTCAAAGGGTTCGGTTTCGCAGTTCCTGGTTAAATCAATAAAATAAATTCACGCATTCATTAATTTTTTGAGTGACCCTGTTTAAGCAAATTTAAAAAATATGAATACAGTGATAAATCACAAGTATAGACTGATGATATGTTGCACATTTTACATAGGATTTATTCGGAAAATTTTGAGGGTATAGGCAAATGTACTTTGATTAAAAATGTACATAAGTTTAAAACATTTGCAAGATTTCAATCCATTCAATTTGGCAGATTCAAAATTAAATTGCAAAATGTTGTTTTATAATTTTGATTTTTTTACAAAAATCTAGATGTTTTGGATAAAAACTCAACACGGAGTCATAAACTGCATGTGTAGGACTACGTTATTTTATAGAATTTAAAATCCATTTATTATGTACAATTTTGAAGTGACGTCATCACATTATTGGTGGCGATGATTAAACAAATTTTGGTTGGCGTTTTACCAACTACATGACATTCCTAATATAAATACAAAATTTGACAACAATCGGCCCAGTACTTTCCGAGATTATCTGTCTAATCAAAATCAGGACGGCAGACAGACGGACAGATTGACAGACAGACGGAAACAGAAGACCAAAACTTCATTATAGGTGTTGTATTTATTACACCACGAAATTTTTCTAGTACATTTATTTCACAAAAGGGGGCGTTATAATTACTACCTTTGTTATAATACGCATAATTCGAAGTCTCCTTTATACTTTTTTACCAAACTGTTGGCTATAAAATATTTTATAGCATACATAAACAGCAAATAGGTGTAAAAAATATTGCACACTAATTTTAATATCAACATACAAAAAGACAATAAAATGAAAAAATTACGACGTGTTTATTTTGATATATTAAAAATATTTAATATTATTTGCAAGTTCTTAAAATTACTACAATAACAACAAAATAAATCGACACCCGCTGAATTTAAAACATAAAGAGATTTTAGAGAGAACAATTAAATTAAATAAATTAATTTATTATAATAAATACCTTCGAATAGGCAAATATACTTTGATTAAAAATGTACAATGCTTACCATAAATTTAAAACATCTGGAAGATTTCAGTCCATCCAGTTTGGCAGATTCAAAATTAAATTGCAAAATGTTGTTTTATAATTTTGATTTTTTTCCAAAAATCTGGACGTTTTGGGTAAAAACTCAACACGGAGTCATAAACTACATGTGTAGGACTATGTTATTTTATACAATAAAATCCGTTTATCATGCACAATTTTAAAGTGACGTCATCACATTATTGGTGACGATGATTAAACAAATTTTGGTTAGCGTTTTAGCATCTACATGACATTCCTAATATAAATACAAAATTTTACAACAATGGGCCCAGTACTTTCGGATATTATCGATCTAATCAAAATCAAGACGGCAGACAGACAGACGGAAACAGACGACCTATTTCTTCGTACTCTAGAAACATCGAGAAAACGTAAAAGTCGGCCGACAGACTCGATTACAAAAATTCGAGATTGTTCCAAGATTCTTACAGGTTAATAAAATTTTGTCTATGTTAAACAAACCGGAACAAACCTATAATCAAAATTTCATTATAGATGTGGGGTTTACACCACGAAATTTTTCTAGTACATTTATTTCACAAAATGGGCGTTATAATTACTACCTTTGTTATAATATTCATAATTCGACAAGTCTCTATACTTTTTCACCAAACTGTTGGCTATAAAATATTTTATAGCATAGATAAACAGCAAATAGGTGTGAAAAATATTGCACACTAATTTTAATATCAACATACAAAAAGACAATAAAATGAAAAAATTACGACGTGTTTATTTTGATATATATTTCTTTAATATTATTTGCTGGTTCTTAAAATTTTACGACGATCTATTTTTTTTTTTAGAAGATGCATATTTTAGCAATATTACCAATGCATAGAATAAAGCCTAAATAAAAAATGTCATTTCATATGCATTAAAAATCCAACGCACAAATTGTTGAAATAAGCAACCCCCAATACACTCAGGCATAGTGTACAAGATTGGTAGTTTCAACAAGAATTAAGTGAATAAAAAAATTCAGCACAACTACCTTCCGTCAAGATTAATTCGAACAAGTTTGAAGCCTAAGACACGCAATTTTCTCCGCTGGGGGAAAGCAAACACAAAAAAATGTGTTCTTTGTTCTTCATTGTTACTAAAAATTTTTAATTCGCACGCACTTCAAATTTAAAATAAGTCAAGTATTTATCAAAAAAGTTTGGACTATGAAACACAGCAAAGCAAAAGTCACTACTTATTTAAATAACGATTCACGGTAGCGACAAACAATTGCTTAACAAATGAAATCAAATTGCGACATCTAGCGGACGTTACAAAAGCAACAAAAATCAATTAGCAATCAACACTACTTGAAAACTATCATGAACAATTTTATAACTTGGTGAATTATTTTTTCACTTACCTTAACCAAACGTCCTGGCTGCAAAAAAGGTATTAGATAATTAGACTTAGTTAAATAAGACCTGAATTGCAGTCCAAGTCTATCCAACTGTTGCCTTATGTTGTAATACGACGCAATCTGAACTTCACTTTCAATTTGAAAACTATTACATTGTTCCAATTTTCCTTTGTACTCTAAAAACAACCAAAAACAATACAAATACAACTAAAAACAAAAACAACTCACTGTCGTATAAACCGGGTATTGCTGTTTGATTCTGGAACTGATAAAACGACCTCTCCAACATATACTCTGGATTGATCTCCTCAACCCTCAACAAATTCAACACCATATTATAAGTCAGATGGAAAGCCGAGTTGATCGGGTCTGGTTGACCCTTCACGATATCTCTCCCAGCAGCAGGTGGTACCTTCTCATCAACCATCAAAATAACTATCCCTTTATCATCAAGCCCTCTTCGTCCCGCACGTCCAGACATCTGAATGTATTCACCAGAAGTAATCTAAAACCCCAAAATCAACACCCCCTCTAATAATAATATACCCAAAACGCACCCATCGGTACTCGTGCCCGTCATACTTCCTCATACCCGTAAAAAGCACAGTCCTCGCCGGCATGTTCAAACCCATCGCGAAAGTTTCCGTTGCAAACAACGCTTTAATCAACCCCTCCCCAAACAAAATTTCGATAGTCTCTTTCAAAATCGGCAACAACCCCCCATGGTGAATCCCGATTCCGCGACGCAACAAAGGCAACAAGTTCTCAACCTGAGGGAGGTTTCTGTCGTCGTCGGTTAAAACATCCATCGCATTATTGAACACTTCATCCACTAGTTGTTTCTCAGCGGCTACAATTTCAACGATTATTTGTCGTAACGCGATCGCACAAAATCTTACTTGTGTTGAAATCAAGCTTCGTCATCTGCATTGCGTACAACTCGCAATCCTTCTTACTAAAACTAAAAACAATGACTGGAGCGAAATTCCGCTCCATTATCATTTTAACTACTTTGAAAATGTCGGTTTGGGTCGCGTCTTTGTTTTTTATTCCGCCTTTTCGGCCTTTTTCGTCGCCTCGGGCGGCGTCGCCTGAATTTTGGAGGACCGCCATGGCGGCGTTGAAACTGTCATCTTTGAAAGTTCCCTGAAAAAAAGTTACTTATGAAGGATCAAACCCGAAATATAGCTATAATCTAAAGATCACCACCTGCTGAGTCAGAATAATAAAATTGCGTCAAGTTAAAAATAAGAATCAAAGCAGCAAGGAAACAAAAAATATCATAAATAAAAAAGTAGTCCTTACCTGTAAAAATATTGCACTAGAAGAACAAATTATATTTAATTATTTGCCGCTATTTAAATTCTACCGCAATGTCAAGCGCAGTGTTGGTGAATCTTTACTATGTTATATACACCAAAAAAATTCTTACGGTTTCGTCCACGACCATGTGAATGCCACTCCCACCCGCCGGATAAATGAAATGTTGTAACGGTGTAGGTCTGTAGTCTGTGTACACCACGTGACACGGTTGGTGATGCAAATGAGCTACCCATTCAGCAAACTGTCTTGCGTTTGGAATTGTAGCCGACAGAAAAACAAAATGAACATTGTGTGGTAACAAAATCAAAGTTTCTTCCCAGACGACGCCGCGTTCTTTATCACGCATGTAATGGATCTCGTCGAATATCACCCAACCCACTTCTCGCATTATTTCTGAGCCTCGGTATAACATGTTTCGCAGGATCTGTGAAGATTACTACTGTGAAATCGAGTCTAGAAAATTTGTCCAAGTTACCTCGGTGGTCATGATGAGGCACGAAGCGCTCGGATTGATCGTGACATCTCCGGTGACCAAACCTACATCTTTGAATTCGTCGAGAAATTCTCTGTATTTCTGATTGGAGAGTGCCTTAATCGGAGTCGTGTAGATTACGCGCTGCTTGTTCTTTAGCGACAGGGCGACTGCATATCTGAAACATTAGCGTGTTTAAATGGCGATTAAATAATGTTAGTCACTGTTACGAAGAAATACCGAGCGATAAATTATAGTCTATCGATGAGTGGTTATTGTTTTGAGCATTAGCAGGATTCTTGTGAAATACAAGACAGGAATCACCACTAAGTACAGTTACGGTTCTAATGCAAAACCTCGATGGTGGTTACTTTTTTAATTTTTAGTTAAGTGTGTTATTTATGCTAATGAATGCAAATATATTCGCAAGTCAATTCACAATCGCGAAATTAAATTTTCATGTTAAACACGGCGAATTTCTGTTCCCAATGGTTAAATATTTTGTAACGTAAACTTATATTGCAAAATAACGTAAAAGCTCATTCAAAAAATTTGTTTTGGATCATAAAATTGTTTTAAAAGTGTTAGTTATTCTTCGAAAGTTTGATAAGTTGCGCATAATTTATGCACATTATAACGGGTTTATTTTCCTTTCTATCACTGAATGTAAAAATCCACGTGTCGTCTACTGTTATTAAACACATAACGCCAATTCTAGTAAGGATAAGAAACACGGACACTTAAATTTTGCCTACTTTTTTCACCATTCTGTGTGAAATGACAACTTCAAGCAAAAACAAAACAAATTATAAAAATATTATTTTAGCTAACTACCGACGAAATAATATTTTTTTAAATACACGGTCCACATTAAAAGTAAACATCCGATTGTGTGAGCGGCAACTGCAAACTATTAATAAAGAAAGTATTTTTAATCTTCCTCTGAATTAGACAATCTAGATAGATACATGACCTCATAACAATGTACAACGTCAGCATTGTTTTAAATTGTTTTGAATTTTTCTTGATAAACTTGTGATATAATAGGCTGCTTACAGACTACACAAACGCGTTGGCAAGCCTTGGATTTTATAAACTACATTCGAGACATATTTTTGTAGGAGTTTCAATAAAACAACACTTGGAGAATTATAGTCACTTGATAGCAAACCACATGTGGTTTTATGTTTTGATGAATTATTGTTCGTTCACAGGAGATTTCTTTACAATAAATATCGTAGTAAAAGGTCTTAGATTTCTGGTAGATCAGGCAAATTGGGAGTAAATTTTTGCAGGCAAAAAATGTTTTTAAATGCTTGACTAAAAAATCACAAACAAGGGAACTAGTAACTTTTCATTTGGAGTGTCTCTCAATTAAAATACAATAAAATGTGGAATATTTGCAGTTACCTTACCACCACGATATCACACTATTTAAACTCGACATACACTTGACATATTTTAAAAATTCAAGTGCACACTCATACAACTCATTAATTACGGATTTCCGGGAAACAAGTTTGCATTAGTAAACGTATGTATTGACAACCCCTAACCCAGAATACTTTTTGGTGAAAGTAAAATTCTTTAAAATTTCATGAGAGGGTTTATTTAAAAAAAAATTGAAAAATATATCGCTATTTTTAAAGATCCAAAAATCATTAAAAAAACTAGGGATTTCAGCCTTTTTCGACTTACCAACAATACGCAAATCATTATTTCCGTGCAAGTTTAAAACCTATTAAAACCAAAACCTCACTGACATAATTTAATTTTAAAACACTCCTTGAAGTAAAAAAGTAAAAACAACGTTATCGTATATACAAACACAATTCCTACTATGACAATTTTCAACACACCGGAATAACTGTGGAAGATTATTTTAGACGTTTTTCTATTTTCACGAAGATCTTAAAATATACAACAATTTGCAAAATAATCAATTTCAAAAATTATTTATGTGATAAAATTTTCAACAAAAAACAGACACAAACGGAAATCTCCATTTTCTAATAATCCGACTTGTAAAATAACAAGAAAACACTAAATTGAGAGACAAAATGACTTCATTAGAATCCCTTCAACTACTACTGTTCAAAAATCCAAAATGATATTTCGGCAACGACAATGAAGTTTTTGTGAAGAGACGTAGCCGAGTTAAACTAGCCATTCGTCGGATTATTACAATACTTCCTTAGCTTAGGTTCGGTGTAAAATTGATTCGCGAGCATAAATATCAAAAGTTTTGTTCAACACCTCATAATGTTTTATAATTTTTATTTGGCAGTAATAAAAATATAAATTTTACATATTTTTTTAATGAACTGTTCATTAAGAAATTTTCTAACATTTTTCGCTACACTTCACATAAATTCGACATATTAACGTCAGACAATTGAATTAGAGACAAAAAACCTGCCTAATATTATCGGAAACAAACAAAATTTTCATAAACCCAGAGTCCATTCAAGAAAAATCGGTCACTAGTTAACACTGGACAATCAAGATGTCTTTCTCATCATGTGTAAGTATGTACAACAGAGTATGCAAAATATAGTAATCCGACACGACTTTTGTTCTCCAGAAATATCTTTGCCTTTTAAAATTCTTTATTGTTTAATATCCAAAATATTTTAGCGACTAAAGAAATAAGTAACAGACAAAACTTCCCTCGCTCCTGAAGTACAGTAGAACAAATACAGCTTATTCGAAAAATTAAAAAAATGTATTTCTTAAAATAAAGATAAAGAAGCATGCTAGGCAGTGGCGTAAAAACACCCCCGCAACCCAAAATGCAAAGCGAAGCAGTCCGCATAGATACGGACAATATGAAATCTATTTAAAACAGAAACTAAACAAAACAAAAAAAACATTAATTCATGCTTAACTTCGACTGTTTATGTTTACATATTGAAGGAGTTCGACGATTAAGCATGTATAAAATTCGGGGCAGCAAAAAATACAGCGCAAGTCTAATCCTGTTTCAAGTGAGTTATCCCACTGGAAAATGTTCCGAGCAACATTTCGCCAAAGACACGTAAAGTAAAAAGCAGTGGCGTAAAGAACACTCCCGCAAATTCTAAAGTGCCGTAGTCCGCACAAGTGGGGAAAACAAAAAATATATTTGACAAGTAACCAACGTGAAAAAATGTATTCTCAGTATATGCTTAACTTCGTCTGTTTATGTTTATATTTCGAAAGAATTCTATCATTAGCATTATAGTACGACGAAATATATTTGCAAATGACTCCAATTATGAGAATTGCAGCTTTGGAAAGTGCACCCAGCATAAAACTGTCAATCAAGATTACTCGCCACCCTTACCCTTCCCAGGACCGTATTTGTTTCAATACGTGAACAAGTAGATTGTTAAAGGGACGGCTTTCAAGGAATTTAATCTTAAAATTTAAGGACAGATGAAAGTGTGGTTCTTAAAACTTTTTAAATCTTTGCAAATACATACATATTTTCTAGAAAAACCCAATAAAAATTAACTCTACCATGATTCATATATGAACGCTCCAAATTTGAAGTCCGGCTCTGGCTGAAGCCGTACCTCGGGTGCGAAGGGTTCGTAATGGTTTTATTGCAGGTTGCGGTCCAAAGTACTTAAGACCCCTCATAAAGTAATTGACGGCGTTTGCAATTATTTTTCGTAGCACTTTAACGGTGGTGTCTATGTTAAAAGAAAATAAAACTTGATTTTGTTTCCTCAACACAGGTAAAGTTTGTCCAGAATTATAAGAATTTTATGGACTCCCAACGTTAATTCGTTTTACAGCCCAGGCGTCAATTCTATTGTACAGGTAAAGAGCTTGTCAGGGGAAAGCCGATGTTTTCTGTACCTGAGTTCGCCCCGCTCTTCAGCTGTACAATAAAATTCACAACAGGGCTGTAAAACGAAATAACTTTGGGACTCCATAAAATTCTTATAATTTTTGATTTCTAGACAAACTTTAACATAATTAAGCATACTCTGCTTTTTCCCAAAAAAACTGAATGTTTAGCGTACTCATAAGTTTGGAGAACATTCAGTCGGCAAAATTGTAAGATGACGTCATCATTTTTGGGCGGGGCATGCTTCCAGTAACCTTAAAATGTTGGCAAAAAATTCTGCGGTGACATCATCACGTTTTTTGAAAGGATTAAACAGATAAATTTTGATTGGAGATTTACCTTGTTTGCGATAACCTTAAAAACGTTTGCAAAATTTCAGAGCAGTCGGTTTTGTAGTTTTTAAATTAAATTGTAAATTGTTCTAGACGGTTTACAATTTTTTTTCACCAATTATCCAAGGCAAAAAAATACGGGTGAAACCACAAGTACAGGAATACATTTTATAAAATTTAAAAATGATTTACGTAACAAAATTCCAATCAGACAAATTTTGGTTAGCGTTTTAGCATCTGTCTTTGCCTAAAATTTTACCACAAGTTTCAGTCCTGAAGTTTCGGAAATTATCTGTTTATTAAAGCCACCAACAGACGACACACAGACGGAAATGGAAAACCCATAACAATGTTCCTTTAGCGTGAACTCGAGGAGTAAAAATCGTTATGTCCTCTTTTGTTAACAATGCGTGTCGTTCCAAAGTGAATTTAGTGGAACCCAGTGTTTAATAATTTTTAATAAACAAATTTTACGATAAATTTTTGTACTGAATCCCCGCAGTTAAAATTTACTTTCAATCTTGTCACTAATTTCTATTATCACACTTTTTGTTAAAATAAAAAATTGGTGAAAGTTGGTTGGAGGGAACTTCGCTCGTATCTCCACAATTTACAATATGAAAATAACAATTTTTTAGAATTTCAATATTCACAACGTGCTATTCGAACACTTCCGAAAATTACCTAAAGAGTTTTTTTTTATACATTGTCATTTTCGGACGTTATTTTCGTCTTCATTTTCTAAAAAACTTTGACCATTTTTCCACAATTTACAATATGCAATATGTATACATAACAGTTTTTTAGAATTTTAATATTCAATTACAATTGACATTGGGTGGGCGGAGCTTAAATTTTGCCTTTTTTCTGGATATTCGTAACAACAATGTAAAACGTTTAAAATGGGGGGGAACATCGATTTTACAATTAAGATCTTATTTTTTGGATATTTCTTCCTAACATATAATGTAGCTTCCTTTCAACAACATGTTATTTAAAAACATATTTCACAAAATAATTTCTTGTAGAGAAATAAGCATTCTGCAATAAACTCCGCCCTTCGGCTCACAACGAATAAAAACGTTATCACAATTGAAGTGAGGGCGGGTGGGCGGGGTTTTATGTTGCCTTTTTTTTTCTTAATACATGTACATATGTCTCTTTTCAAGACAAGGAACTGAAAGCATGTTTAATGTAAATTTGTAGAGAAGTGTATGGGAAAAAATTTACCATTTTAAACATGTTTTCAGTTTCTTATTATGAAGAAAAAACAATATATATTAAGAAGAAACAAAAAATGCAAAACATAAGCCCCACCCACCCACCCTATCTCAGTTGTGACGCATTTTTTTGTTCGTCGTTCGTCAAGGGGGCGGAGCTTAATTGCAAAATCCGTATTTTTCAACAAGAAATACCATGTGAAATATGTTCTTCAGTGATGATGCTATTCAGAGAAAACTATATGTATTATGTAAAAAAAAAGATAAGATAAGCCCCACCCATCCATTTGGATCTCAATCGTGATGAATTTTCCATTCGTTCTCAGACTGAGGGGCGGAGCGTAATTACAAAATCCATATTTCCTGTTTTAAACACATTTTAAGTTTCTTCTTGCGAAAAGAAGACTACGAATATTAAGAAAAAAAGGCAAAATAGAAGCCCCGCCCGCCCACCCTATCTCAATTGTGATGACTTTCTTTATTCATTGTGAGCCAATGTTGTTTTACATGTTTATTTCTCTACAAGAAATAAACATGTAAAACAAAAACTAAATAAACTTTAATAAATTCATGGATAAAAGATTTTCTTGAACTTATTTTAATTGACGAGGACTTTGCTTCTTTACAATACATATTATAGAATTTGATTTTGCGATTTTCGTTATTGTAATAACGAAAAATTTTGAAAAATATTTGATTGTTAATTATAAGAGAAAAAAAATGCATAAAACTGCATATTTAGCAAAATTGTGCATATTTAGAACAAATTCAATTTTGAGTTTGGTTAGCTTCTTACCGTTTACATGAAATTCATAATACACAAATAAAATTTGACAACAATCGATAAAGTAGTTTCGGAGATAAATGTCGGTCGACGGACTCGATTACAATACTTCCTTCGCTTCCGCTCGGGAAGTAAAAATTGGTCGAAAGTTGTTTCGACAGAACTTCCCTCGCTCCAAAGTACAATGAAACATATCCAGCATTTTCGTGTTGAGTTTTTTTTTTTACACAATTTTGTAATGACGTCATCAACATTTTTGCAAGGACACGTATATTAACTTGGATTGGTGCAGTGTAATACTAAAAATAACAGTATGTATTTCCAAGCTTTTTTGAGAAAATGGAGTGAGCCTGATTTAATCAATAAAATAAACTGACTTATTCATAATTTTTTTTGAGCCACCTGCTCAAGCAAATCTACAAACTATGAATGCAATGATAAATCACAAGTAAAAACTCATCATATTTTGCACATTTTGGGTAAAATTTATTCGGCAAAATTTTGAGATGACGTCATCAATTTTTTTGGGGTTGACAAACAGATACATTTTGATCAAAAAAGTTACCATGCTTACAATAACTTCAAAACGTCTGCACGATTTCAAAGTATTCAGTTTTGCAATTCTTGATTTAATCTATAAAATAAATTGACTCAGTCATAAATTTTTTGAGACACCCTGTATTACCAAATCTAAAAGGCATTAATGCAGTGATAAATCACAAATATAGGCTCATCATATTTTGCACATTTAAGACAGGATTTATTCAGCAATATTTTGAGGTGACGTCATCAATTTTTTAGGGGGGGGTGAGTAAATACATTTTGATCAAACATTTATTATGTTATGGTAACTTCAAAACATCTGCAAAATTTCAAAGCATTCGGTTTTGCAGATTCAAAATTAAATTGCAAAATGTTTTATAATTTTTATTTTTTTTTCCAAAAATCTGGAGATTTCGGGTAAAAAATCAACACGGCATCGTAAACTACACGTGTAGAACTATGTTATATTATACAATTTAAAACCCATTTACTATATACAATTTTGAAGTGACGTCATCACATTATTAATGGGGATGATTAGACAAATTTTGGTTAGCGTTTTACCATATACATGATATTCCTAATATAAATAAAAATTTGACAACAATCGGCCCAGTACTTTTGAAGATTATCTGTCTAATAAAAATCCGGAACGGCAGACAAACGGACAGACGGACGGAAACGAAAGTCATATCTCTTCGTACTCTAGGCGTCATGAAAGGTCGAGAAAATGTAAAAGCAGAGAGTCGGCCGACGGACTCAATTACAATATGTACTTCCTTCGCTTACGCTCGGAAAATAAAAAAATATGCATTTTTAACCATTGATAAATTTGTTTATAATTCATTGTTTTTATCTTTTAATTTGAATGTTTTTAATAATTGAAATATATCTAAGACCATTGTTGTTCATACCCAATTAATTTCTCTTTTCTCAAACGGGCTTCCAAAGTCACTACAAAACTCATTAAGTCATTACATACACCGTTGTAGAAACAGCGCATGTCCGATAAAACTGATTCCACTGTCTGCGTTTTTTTTTTTTTTTTTGTAAATTTCAAATAATTATGTCCACGTTATTGAAAACTAAATAAACACAAACACCAAATTAAAATAACATTTAACGAAAATTGACTAATTAAAGAAGCCTTGATAAAAAATTAGTTAAATTACTTTTACGTTATTAACACTCATAACCATACACATAAATTGCAAAATTCGTGAGAGCCTGCCGCATTGTGGGAGGCGCCTATGAATTTTACATAATTTGTGGTTAAAAATCTTAATAATTCCTGGTAGCCACTTTACCAACCGCAGAATATAATAAAAATCGCTCTGAATAGTAAAAACACGTATTGCAACATTTCAAAGAAAACACTGCTTTATTTCCAAATCTCTCTCACACTTACTCTGCAATAACCGTCTTGCCAGCCGAAGTATGTGCCGAAACCAAAACTGACTGGTTATTATCGACACACAAAATCGACTCCTTCTGGAAAGCATCCAGAGCGAACGGGTACTGCTTGGCGGCCTCGTTCCTCCCCGTCCTCAGCGGCACATATTCCTGCCCCGGGGGGCACGCGACCTCGTGCGTGCACGCCTCCATGGACTCGATAACGTGGACCACGATCCGATTTTTCAGCTCCTCCAAGCTGCAACAGGACCAAGCTAAGGTCATGCCATTCCAACATGTCACTTACGCACTTGATGTCTGTGAGATCCACCACCTCGTCGTCGGTCTTCGGCCTCTTGGGGCCGCCGTCCGCGCCCTCGTCCTCGAGCTCGCGCTTGCACGCCTTGTTCTGGCCATCTGGATCGCTGGAATTTGCGTAAAAACGGGATTTTGGCGTGTATTTTTGAGGTTATGGCTGCATTTTACCTGTTGGATAACGGTGTGCTTGGTGCGGCTGGCTCTTGGTCGGGCGCGTTTTCCGGCTGGGGCTCGTCCTCGAAGCACAGGAAGAGGTCGTCGATGGAGTCTGCCATGGCTTTTCGCGCTTTTTTATGCCGTTTTTGCCGATTTTTGCATTACAATGCACGCGCCAACCAACGAACGCTGTTTTTTACGGGACCGGGTGACGAAGCGGGACGATCAACTTGATTCGTGGGTTTGCGCTCCAAATTCAAATTGGGCTTGGGGAGAGGAAAGAGCCGGAAAGTGAAGAATAAAGACGAAAAATGCAAGATTTAAATGAAAAATGAAGAATTCGCGACGACTGGGAAGTAATTTTGATGTTGATGTCGCGAAATTGCTGAAAAAATGGATATTTGTCCTCAATGCTTGTTTTTGAAGTGTCTGGAAACAATTTTGTTACGTAATAAGTTGCTAAATAAATCAATTAAGTTCAAAAGTTCCATCAATAAACAAAATTAAATTATCTGCCAGAAAAAGTATTATCTCGTGTTATGTTAACTTCAAAATAAATATTTATAGACAGAGGCGTAACGGGTAGGGTTGCGCAAGGAGACGATTCTCTCGAAAGTATATATTTCGATTGCGATTCGACCAAAATAAAAAATAAATTAAGCAATTAATACTATGGGTCTACTGCTATTCATTTGTGACGTCAACTTTTGAATTAGGTCACTTTTTATGTATAATTTAGTTCAAAACTTAATATAGCGAAAAATTCTTGAATTGACAGTGACAACCGATTTTTGACCATTAAATTGGCGCTTGTTACCATAAATTCCAAATTAAGAATTCATTTGTTGTTAAATTCCAAGGAAACTTCCTGATTAACATGTTGGGGGTGCGGACGGATGTCGGAGCTCGTACCCAATCGGTGGGTTAAATTACTACCTGGCTCCGCCCGAAAGCGTCGGTCACATTCTTCAAGACCCAATCCACGTTCTGTTTTATATCATCTCCATGTTAGAGGGGTCTCTGCATGCTGTTTTGGCCGATTTCTTGGATGTCATTGGTCCGGAAACCGGTATTCTTCTAGCTATTACTATTATCTACCAGTACTTACATTCACATTGATGTTTACATTTGTGAGTGGTTCTCCATAAGACTTGAACCGCATGTAGTTATGTTGACTTCATAAGACGGTTGTGTGTTTTGGTCATTTTATTATAGATTATAATTTATTTTAAATACGATAAGTAACTACTTACGGCATTTGATTTGTAGACAATAATAAAAACTTTGGAACTGCTAATGTTCTACAAATTCGTTATTTATTATATATTATTAATATAAAGTTACTTAAGTAAAAAAAAAGTAAAAAGTACTTTTTTTGAAAGGGCATGCCATTGTCAAATATATCAGCAACAGGTAAGCCAACATAATTTTTGTTTCTATTCTTCTTTTTTTACATTACCTATTACATATGTACATAGGTGTATATTTTTTTGGAAAATCCGCCTTATTATTTGATATTTATAATAGTGTACAGAATGGTTTCGTCGTATTGTGGTCCATAATTTGTTTTCTAATGCTCTTAATTTAAAAAACTAGGAACTTTTGAGCCCTCGGAAACGTGGGTGAAAAGTCGCGCATCCCTATAGCGCATCGTCATTTCTCATTTTCCCTAACCTGGAAATTTCGTGACGCATTAACCTTCCAATATCAAAAATGATCGTGTTGCTGAAATTTCTGAGAAATAAGTAGTGAATATGAACAAGATAAAACCAATTAAGGGGATGTGGATGAGTCAGTTTTCGCACTCCCAAAAACTCACATAGGGAAGAGTAAAAAATTGGTCGAAGGTTATTTCAACAGAACTTCCCTCTCCCCTGAAGTGTAGCCAAATAAATCCCACTTCTCTAAATTTTTTGCAATTTCTGTTTTCTGATAATCTCTATAAAGTAAAAACCAGTGGCGTAAATAACGTCCCCGCAGCTTATTTGACTTGAAGTTTTTCTTCCATTTTTCATTTCTTTTTTTCTTTCATTTTTTCGAATTTTGAAGTTTAAATTTAATTTTCAATTTTTCGATTTGAGTTTCTCGCGTTTTCGATTTTTAATTGTTCCATTTGCAATTTTTCGTTTCAGTTGTAGGAACAACCGTTCCCACAAAATCAGGTGTTCTACCTGAGCGCATTCATAATTTTTGTACTAATGTAAATCTTTCGTCTACCTCCCTACGCTCCTACATACTTTCTCTTCCCGTTTCTAGAATTTTCTAAATTCTTTCTTTACCGAGCCTACCTGTCGACCATTCAAACACCCTTCGATCTTCTTCTCCCTGGCACTCTCAAACAGTAAGGAGCTAAATAAAATCTGAAAACCGTAACCGTCTCTTTTTCTAAAAATCACCAACGATACCCACAAAGTTTTTCATTTTCTTTATTTTTACGATTTTTCAATTTTTCAATGTTCCGATTTTATAATTTTTTGCTTTTTCGATTTCACTTTTTTTCAATTTTTCGTTTCGTCAGTTTTTCAATTTTCAATGTTTCAATTTTTCTTCAATTTTACGATATTTCTTCGAGTTTTCATTTTAAATTTTCCAGTTTTCCGATTTTCCAAATTTTGGACGTTTCAATTTTTAGATTTTTCAGTTTTTCGATTTGAAATTTCACGAGTTTTCAATTTTTAGATTTTTCAGTTTTTCGTTTCTTCAGTTTTTCGAGAAAAACGAGAAAGTACAAGTTATTCTACGTGACTTATGTTTGGAGTACAGTCCAAAATTACTGAATAATAGATTGACTTTATGTTTTTTATTATAATATCTCTTGTTCGTTGCGGCAAAACATTGTTGAAAGAAAATTATGTATATAAAAAAAAAGAAAAATTAAGCCCCACCCACCCGCCCCGATCTCAATTGTGATGAGTGTTTCATTACTAATTAGACGAGGAGCGGAGTTTAATTGAAACATATTATTTCTCTAAAAAATTCTACCCTTTTAAAAACAAATTTCATATGGTAATTTCTTGCAAAGAAATGAGAATTTTGCAACTAAACTCCGCCCTTCAGCTCACGATGAATAAAGCATTCATCACAATTGAGAAGGGGTGGGTGAGCGGGGCTTATATTTGGTCCATTTTTTTCTTAATATACGAAGTCGTCTTTTCCCAACAGGAAACTTAAAACATGTTTAACTATCCTGTTGTTGGAAGAAAACTCTATATATTAAAAAAAAAAACAAAGATGAAGCCCCACCCACCCGCCCCGATCTCAATTGTAATGATGAGTTTTTAATTCCTAAACAGACTGATGGGCGGAATTTAATTTTAACGTCAATATTTCTATAAAAAATTCATCCATTTTAAGAACATATTTCATATGGTATTTTCTTGGAGAGAAATAAGGATTTTGCAACTAAACTCCGCCTTTCAGCTCACGATGAATAAAGCATTCATCACATTTGAGAAGGGGTGGGTGGGCGGGGCTTATATCTGGTCCATTTTTTCTTAATATACAAAGTCTCTTTTTCCAACAAGAAACTGAAAACATCTTTAATTAACCTGTTGTTGAAAGAAAATTCTATATATTAAAAAAGAAAGTAAACAAAGATTAAGCCCCATCCACCCGTCCAGATCTCAATTGTGATGAATTTTTCATTCCTAATCAGATCGAAGGCCGGAGTTTAATTATAACACCAATATTTCTCTAAAAAATTAATCCCTTTTAAAAACAAATTTCATATGGTAATTTCTTGTAGAGAAATGAGAATTTTGCAACTAAACTCCGCCCTTCAGGTCACGATGAATAAAGCATTCAGCACAATGGAGAAAGGGTGGGTGGGCGGGACTTATATTTGGTCTAATTTTTTCTTAATATACGAAGTCGTCTTTTCCCAACAAGAAACTGAAAAATGTTTAACAATCCTGTTGTTGGAAGAAAACTCTATATATTAAAAAAAAAACAAAAATTAAGCCCCACCCACCCGCCCCGATCTCAATTGTCATAAGTTTTTCATTCCTAATCAGATCGAAGGGCGGAGTTTAATTTTAACGTCAATATTTCTATAAAAAATTCTTCCCTTTTAAAAACATATTTCATATGGTATTTTCGTGTAGATGAATAAGGATTTTGTGACTAAACTCCGCCGTTCAGCTCACGATGAATAAAGCATTCATCACAATTGAGAAGGGGTGGGTGGGCGGGGCTTATGTCTGGTCCATTTTTTCTTAATATACAAAGTCTCTTTTCCCGACAAGAAACTGAAAACATCTTTAATTATCCTGTTGTCGAAAGAAAATTCTATATATTAAAAAAAAAACAAACAAAGATTAAGCCCCACCCACCCGTCCGGATCTCAACTGTGATGAATTTTTCATTCGTAATCAGTTTGATGGGCGGAGTTTAATTGTAACATCAATATTTCTATAAAAAATTCTTCCCTTTTAAAAACACATTTCATATGGTATTTTCTTGTAGAGAAATGAGAATTTTGCAACTAAACTCCGCCCTTCAGCTCACGATGAATAAAGCATTCATCACAATCGAGAAGGGATGGGTGGGCGGGGCTTATATTTGGTCCACTTTTTCTTAATACATATATGAAGTCTTCTTTTCCCAACAAGACACTGAAAACATCTTTAATTATCCTGTTGTCGAAAGAAAATTCTATGTATTAAAAAAAACAGAACAAAGATTAAGCCCCATCCACCCGCCCCGATCTCAATTGTGATGAGTTTTTCATTCGTAATCTGATGAAAGGGCGGAGTTTAATTGTAACACCAATATTTCTCTAAAAAATTCTACCCTTTTAAAAACATTTTATATGGTAATTTTTTTGTAGGGAAATGAGGACTTTGCAATTAAACTTCGCCCTTCAGCTCACGATGCATAAAATATTCATCACAATTGAGAAGGGGTGGGTGGGCGGGGCTTATATTTTGTCCATTTTTTCTTAATATACAAAGTCTCTTTTCCCGACAAGAAACTGAAAACATCTTTAACTATCCTGTTCTTGAAAGAAAATTCTATATATTAATAACAAAACAAAAATTAAGCCCCACCCACCGGCCCCGATCTCAATTGTGATGAATTTTTCATTCGTTGTTAGACCGAGAGGCAGACCCTGATTGCAAAATACATATTTCTCTATTGATTTAAATGAGTTTGTCTTCTCAAAACAGAGGACTAAAATTATTAATTAAACCACAATCGAACAAAACAGCGCATTACCAGCGCAAGAAAAAAAAAGTGTTAAGTTCGGCAACCATGACACAATGGGGACAGCTCATATATATCGTGGTAGACTCGATTACTATACTTCGCTTACGGTCGAGAAGTAAAATGGCCATAAAAAAAAACTATTGATTTCATGTTCAGATAAGTACTGGTATTTTTAGATGAGATATCCAACGTGAAATAGAGTTGCCACATTTAAAATGACATATATGAGGTCTTCGCGCCATAAGGTTATATGACCATCATAAAAGTAGTTGACCGTAAATAAATACCCCCTTTGTGCGGTTCGCACTAAGCTTACCGGTTGGCAACAAATTGTTTTCTAAACATTTCTTGCTTAGATTTAGATATTTAGTGAAAGTCGCCTCTGAACGAAATGACAACAGCCGGTCGAACTGAAGTGTACACGTTATTTACGACCCTAAAATATTTCCTATTGTAAACAACCCATCTTCGACTAATTTTTTACAAGTTATTGTAAATTTCACTAGTAAGTATATAGACACGCAGATATGATTTTATTATGAAATAGTAAAAATAAAAAAGATCCCAGCACAGACCCTTGATCTACGCCCATGGTGGTATTTCAGTAACAGAGTGCATGTTACTCAGGAAGCGCAGAGCGACGCATGCGCGGTGCTTAATGGAGGACCCACCAATCTTCACTCACTTTACTTGTGTTTACATGCCCGCCTCCATTGACATCTGGGTAATAAAACGCAATAATAAAAAAATCGGTCTTTATTATATGAAATTAAAGCACACTTGGTACATAAATTTCCATCACTAATTTACTCAATGCTAGCTTGCTCAGTTGTAGAAAAAAAATACGTAATATTTAACAATATAAATTTCTCTGTAACTCAAATTATAAACGCATCAACACGAGGAAAGGGCAACAGAATAAGTTTCCTTATACTAATGCGTTTACAATAACACAAAATAGAAACAAATGATGGCACTTTCAGTGCGATTGATATAGGTATTAAAGAAAATCTGAATGAAAAAGACTTAAAAGTATTTTATTTTTTTTAATAGTTTTTTTCTTTATATTTTTTGGTATCAACTGATTGGAAAATACATTATTTCGTACCGCTACAGTACAATAATAAATGCCATAAAAAATAAGCATAGAAAAAAGAATACTCCTCCAATCATGTCGGATCTTCCTGGGGAAATCTTTCACCCTATCACATACAAACTAACGACATTCATTCTGGCGTAACGAGCCCTTCTGATATAAGTTTTGTAATGACTCGCCGTTTACAACCCTGAGTGTTGGAAGATGATGCCGAATTTTCGGCGATCGTTTATCACTGGGACTAGCCGAAAATTAAGCACCTTGTGATCGTCGCGCCCCCCACTTTTTTTCGAATACCGAAACTACCCTTGAGCATTACAAAATATTTAAAAAATATCCAAACTTATATAGGACTCTTAAAAATACAATGGACTGTCAGTACATGGCGGGACGGCCCGTCCCTCGAATTTAATGTTCTGTATCTTACCGAACATAAAGCAGGTACGCTGTCTACAGTCTATCGTGCGCTACTTCGCACGCTTAGATGCTTATTTAATTATCACAATGCAGACTGACCTGGATCAGTCCACCTCAACACATACAATAAAAAAAAGAAAAAAAAAATGTAAAAAACAAGCTCCGAAAAAACTAACGCTAGGCCAGAGACGCCAGACCTGGTCCAAGACATCCTGGGCTTCCAGATTATGTATGTACCAAATGTCGTGGTGGGCACGACCCTGACGAAGGAATCGAAAATCGAACGATGTCTTGACGCAGTTGAGTCTCAACTTTAGACTCTTCAAAAATAAACAACGTTCTCTCGGAGACTAACGACGAGAGACAAAAAAAAAAGATATTCTCGTAAAATCGACAAAGACAAAAATTTTGCGTGAAAAATAACGAAAAATGCGCGCCGCCCGTGCACGCCATATTTTTTTCTTCTTTTATTTGTTTTTTAATCTTATTTTGTAAAAAAATATCGGAGATGCTTGCGCAACGCCTTCAACCGCTCGGACTGGGAATAGCGGGGGCCGGAGTGGGCAACAAAAATTGGCAGGATCGACCCTTGATCCGCCTCTGCATTAAGTTGCTCTCGCTGGGCGGGCTTAAGCCGAACACCTGTCAAAAGAAATTAACATTGTATCAAAGGGCCAATAAAGGGGTTATTTTTCGTACCTTGGCGGAGTAGGGCGCCGCCTTTTCGTCTATAGGATACACGTTCGGCCTCTCCAGATAGTCCAGATTCATGCTGAAGTGCTGCTGCACCACCCTGTTCACAGCCATGGCGCTCTCCGCGAACTGGGACAGCTCCCTCGCGGAATTATTCTTCTTGATAATGGCAGGCGTGGTCAACGGCGCCGAGTCGCTGGCGCATTTCAACCACGGATGTTGCAGAACTTTCTCGGCGCTGATGCGTTCGCTGGCGTTCTTGACCAGCAAGGATGATATCAGATCCTTTGCCTCGTCCGATATGTTACCCCATTCGGCTTCGGGGAAGTCGTATCGGCCCTCTTGGATGCTATGGAAGAGGAGGTCTTGGCAAGCGTTACAATTGTCTCCGCGTTCCCAGCCGCAGTCGCGGCCGCACTTGCCGTAGAACGGCGGATACCCGCATAACAAGATGTAGGTGATGACGCCGAGCGACCACAGGTCGCACCGCTTGTCGTACGCCACCGAGTCCGACTCGCCGATGAAGGCTTCCACTACTTCGGGGGCCATGAACTCGGCGCTGCCCACCTGAAACAACAAACTCGATCAGCGATCGTCATAACCCTTCAGATTGCGAGTCGGATTTTCGTTGATCTTTGACCCGAAACTTTCACTGGGTTGTAAACCTACATTGGACTGGAGGAACCGGTGTCATTTGAGCGTTATTAAAAATAAAGAACAGCGCTAATTTAATATTCATTTCTCTCCGTTTTTTTAAAGTCAGGTTTTACGACTACCTGCACGAATATGACCATCAACCACGACAGTTTCCCCTCCCACGGGTGAATTAGTATGACTATGGTTAAGCCGCGTTCGTCACGTCGTAATACCGAACTCATTATGAATAAAATATGTTTATTCCACCATGTGCATTTCTTATAAAACTCGAGCTATAAAGAATACTTGAACAAAGCACTACAGTAACCCAGCCATTACACACTGTACGTTGTTTACTTTCCCAGCCAGCTTCAATAAACATCAAAATATTCCAGTTATACACTTCACACTCGATTTCATTATTCATCACGAACTTTTAATTACAACGAACATGTTTGCCTGAGCTTCATAAGGATCAAACCACCGTAACGCAACAACACCTACCGGAGTTAGAAGTTGTGGAGTGGCCAACGGACTCGAAACGCTCGACTGGAAGCGTATTCCGGATCCCAAATCAAAATCGCAGATCTTGACTGGACAAAGCCTATCTTTATTAACACATAGGATGTTCTCCGGTTTGAGATCGCGGTGTGCTATTCCTTTGGCGTGCATGAATCGCAACGCGGAAGCGACTTCCCTCACAATCTCCGCCGCTGCCGCTTCGCTGAAGTACCTATTCTCCTGAATCCTTCTCAACAGTTGTCCTCCATTTATCTGAAAAAAAAAGAAAAAAATGTCTTCAGGGGTCGAAAACGGGGAGATCGTATTCTTTAAAATTCAAGAAACATACTAGACGTAAATTCAAACTTCCAGGATGTTTTATTAACTTTTGAAAAAGTGTTTTAGAATGGCGTCACGTGCATTTTCTAACAAAATTGAAACAAAAACCGGAACATAAGTGATAATTCTAATACAACTCATAGAAGTTATGAAGGTAAACAACACTTTGTTAATTTAGACGTCTGTGCTTCATTGAAAATGATGGATTGTTGTTTGTATAGCTATAATTTGATGAATTACCAATGGATGTCACGTTTATTAAACTGTGAAGGAAAAAATTAACACCAATTTATTAATACAATACAAATTTCAAATAACCTTCATTAATCATGATGAAAGTCTATAAAACAATACAACCAATACAACAGAAGTTTTCCTTATGTCAAAACGTGTACTAATCACACCATCTAATAACCTTCAGCTCAAGTTCAGACCACTTTTGATTTTAATAAGAATTGTGTTTTTTCTGTGGTTGTTTTAAATGATTTATTCTGCAATCTTCTTAGCACTGAGACTGAATTCAACAAAGATCATTTTATTCTTTTTTAAAAGTCGGATGTTATACCGGGTGTCTGGAAAATGGCGAAGTAACTCTCCGCGACGCTTGTAACAATCAACTGGACAGTTTGGGAAAAATAGTTTAAAAAATTCTCTCACTTTTGCTGGAGTTATGATGATTTTAAAATTGGTTCTTTTGCTATGTTTAACAATAACTAGTGATAAAACTTTCAGTTAATATTTCTCTCGCTCATGACCATGTTTAAATACCATTTCAGTTAGAATGTACAAAGATAATTATGGTTGTTGTTTTTCTAATAATTTGACAAAAAATCGATAGTTTAGTTTTTTTTTTTTTTTTCAAATAGAACACTATATTTTATTACTGCTTCTGATTCTGCCGTAGGTTTAAGTAGCCGAAGTTATCTGAAATTAATATAAAGATGTCCATGGTTTAATTTCTAATGCCCATGGTTTAATTTCTACAAAATATTTTATTTTTAGATTTATCAACAAGCAGTAGCCCCGCCCACCTACCCCTTCTTCGTTCCAGTGAGTATATTTGATATTGTTCAGTCCTATCTTAACAAGTTTTAGCCCCGCCCACCCACCCTTTTTTGTTCTTAGTCGATGTCATTTACCAAAATCAATCTTATCTTATCAAATACTAGCCTCGCCCACCCGCCCTCTCTTTTCTTAGAGGATATCTCATTTGCCAAAATCAGTTTTATTTTAGTTAATATCGATGACTAACTTTAAAAAAAAATGATCAAAATTTGGAAACATTACGAACTTACTTATATGCACAAGGCGGGAATTTTGAACATCGTCTCTAGTGTTTAATTGGTTATGCTTTAATGGATTTTTCTTTGTTGGTTTTTTGTTTACAATTTATAATTTCTTATTAATTTTTTTTTTGTTTATTTATTAATTAAAAATAACAGCGGGTTTTGTTAATAATAATAATACACAACGTCTATGACTACTAGTTGTTATGGTTATTGTCCTAAAAAAATATGACGAAACACACAACTTAGTTTTTTAAACGAAACACCCTATATATTTTTACTACCAGCTTATATTTGAAATTCTGATGCGACGTTGCCACGTTATTCGGATTTTCTTAAATCTTGTAGCAGTTGGAACAATTCACAAAAAATTGCAGCCGGGTTATTTCACAATATTTTGTGGAGAGATAAATAAGTAACACTGTCATATACAGAATGTTTATAAAAAATGTTTCATTATTACAATTTTCAAATATCGATATATCAGTTTTTTTTTTTTTTTTAATAAAACACTATAATTTATTACTGCATCTGATTTTGCTTTAGGTTTAGTAGCCGAAGTTATCAGAAATCAATATGAAGATGTCCATGGTTTAATTTCTATTAAGTGTTTTATTTCTACTTTTATGAACAAGCAGTAGCCCCGCCCACCCACCCCTTCTTCCTACCAGTGAGTACTGTTGATATTGTTCAGTCCTGTCTTGGCAAGTTTTAGCCCCGCCCGCCCACCCTTTTTTGTTCTTAGACGATGTCATTTACCAAAATCAATCTTATCTTAACTAATACTAGCCCCGCCCACCCGCCCTCTCTTTTCTTAGAGGATATCTCATTTGCCAAAATCAGTTTTATTTTAGTAAGTATTGATGACTAACTTTTACAAAAAATGATCAAAATTTGGAAACATTACGAACTTACTTATATGCACAAGGCAGGAATTTTGAACATCGTCTCAAGTGTTTAGTTTGCTTTGCTTCAATGGATTTTTCTTTGTTGGTTTTTTGTCTATAATTTATAAATTTCTTATTAAATGTTTTTTTTTGGTTTATTTATTAATGAAAAATAACAGCATGTTTTAATAATAATAATACACAACGTTTATGACTACTACTAGTTCCGGTTGTTAAAAAAAAAAAAAAAATTAAGACGAAACACATAACTTGGTTTTTTAAATGAAACACCCTATGTGTTTTTAAATATTTTGATAGATTTTGTCTTAGGCTTTACAACCACAGCTTGTATTTGAAATACTGATGCGACGCTGCCACGTTATTCCGATTTTCTTGAATCTTGTAGCAGTTGGAAGAGTTCACAAAAAAATTGCAGCAGGGTTATTTTACAATATTTTGTAGAGAGATAAATAAGTGACATTGTCATATACAGAGTGTTTATAAAATTTATAAAAAATGTTTCATTGTTGCAATATCGATAGTTTAGTTTTTTTTTTTCAAATTGAACATTCTCTATTTTATTACTGCATCTGATTCTGCCTTAGGTTTAGTAGCCGAAGTTATCAGAAATCAATATGAAGATGTCTATGGTTTAATTTTTATAAAATATTTTATTTCTACTTTTATGAACAAGCAGTAGAACCGCCCACCCACCCCTTCTTCCTTCCAGTGAATACTCTTGATATTGTTCCGTCCTGTCTTAGCAAGTTTTAGCCCCGCCCTCTCACCCTTTTATGTTCTTAGACGATGTCATTTACCAAAATTAATCTAATCTTAGCAGATACTAGTACTTGCCAAGATTAATTGTGACAAATGACATACCCTCTAAGAAAATAGAGGGTGGGTGGGCGGGGCTAGTACTTGTTAAGATAAGATTGATTTTGGTAAAAGACTGAACAATATTATGAGTAATCACTGGAAGATTCTGTAGGAAAAATTAAACTGTAAAGTATAACAAAAAAATTACGATTACCCCTTTTTTTTAAACAACCTACGTTCTATTATTTCAGATTCTCATTTTACACAAGAACATTCACCCCGCCCACCCACCCCGCCTTTATTTCAGTGATTCATTTTGTTTATTTCGAATAAAAGGTAGGAAGATAAGATTGATTTTGTTAAATGATATACCTTCTAAGAAAAGAAAGGGTGGGTCGGATGGGCTAGTACTTGCTAAGAGACTGATTTTGGCAAATCACATACACTATAAAAAAATAGAGGGTTTGTGGGCGGGGCTAGTATTTTCTCCCCCAAAATTTGCTAATTGAAATATAGTTGTTTTTACAGTACGTAGATAAAAAAGGAAATTATTATTAATCACAAAATACAATTATTTTAGGAATGTACTTTGTGTACATAAATTTTATAGAAATATAAATATAAAATATTTTATACCGATTTCCGGAAAACTTTTGAGCAGATTGATCGTTTCGTACTTGTACTTTTTAATAAATTCAAATAGTGTGGTCTTTTAACACCTCTTAATAATTTATTCAAATCTTATTTGCTTGATTGAGAACAGTGTGTTAGGTAGAAGAATTATTGTTATTTATAAATGACATAGTAGACGTTACGACAAATCAAAAATTGTAATTTATTTGCCGACGACTTAATTTCTTTGATCAAAATATGTTCTATCCAGGAATCTGTTTGTCCCTTCAAATGGATGTTAATGATATTTTGAACTGGTGTGAAGTTTAATAGGTTATTTTTAAAAATATTGAAATGCTATGTTGTAACATATAATCGAAAACTTAAGTATTATTTCATTTCTTTATAGTATAAACAATATATTTTTTATATATTATATATTTATATAATGCATTGGAAACATGTATGTTTTATATACATAATTTATTAAACAATAAAATAGATTGTACTTCTGTTATGTGTGGATATTATAGTGGTAATTAATGTTATATAATAGTAAAGTATTCTTTTTTATTTTATACTTATTTCAATTATTCATGTTTTCTGTAATTGGGTGCGAGTCTGGAGGAAATAAATCTATCATTATTATTATTAAATGTAAATACAGTCAACTAGTGTACCTAAACCGTCTCAGGTAAAAAAGACGATTTAGGTCATTCTCCATGTTCTGAGGCTTAGAAGATGAGAGTTACTGAACATTTTCCCAAGTTTCAAATGCCCTTCGGCACAAAACTCTTGAGTTGCTCAATCCGGAGCTAGAAAGCAGTTCTTTCGTCAAGTTTTGATACCTGAGGTTGTTTTCAAAATCAATTTCAAGGTAGAACCCGATGTTTCGCCACCCGTCAGTTTGGTAACTCAAGTATATATTCATTTTAACAAAAATCAATTATAACTCCGGTAAAATGAAGGATTAAACTTGTCAAGTCAGCCAGGAACGAGAAATCGAACTTTGGCAGGCAATTTTTGATTTCGAAACTTCCATTAGTTTTTTGTTATCATATTAAAAGTGCTCTCGTCTGAATACACTATTGTGTCGTAAACTCCACCTGCAATCGCTGCAAAAAAGCGAAACAACAACACGTTAAAAATGCACACAATGCTCCTTTATTATGTCCGAGAACAATGCGGTTGTAAAACGTGTCGAACCGCCATCAAATAATAACAAACCGAGAACAATTTATTTAAAAATGCAAACCGAATCTTAAAATGTCCGAACGCAACCCACAATACACCAGTCGAACTAAACCCGTGCGTTGCGGGTTGCATTCTCATATCCACCTACCTTCTCAAAAACCAAATAAAACTTTTCTTCATCCTCAAAAAATTCGGTGAGCTGAATAATATTGGGGTGTCCTTGACAGTGGTGGAACGTTTCGACTTCCCTGAAAACCCGAGCCCTTGCATGTCCCGGCACCTTGTCGATGATCTTCACTGCATATTCCTGGTCGGTGTACATGTTGACGCAGGTCTGCACACTGGCATAGGCACCCTCGCCCAAGATTTCGCCGGATAATTTGTACAAATCTAGAACGAAAATTTCCAGGTCAGAACAGAGAAAGCTCCGATTTGCATGAAAATAGCGCGCAAAAAAGTTCAAGGCCGCGATAATTTTCCATTCTTTATCGAAATGACAAAAATAAATGTTTGTCGAGCAAATATTCGTCCGCTGCGATAACGTGAAGACGATTAGGACGTTTAAATAAGCGGCAAATAAGACACTGTGACGAAAGGACAGGGGGGTTATTCAGCAAATATTTATCAAAACATTGTCGGTTTCCGTTATCGGATGCAAAAAGTTGGAAATTTGTATGGTAATTGTTGAAGCGTGAATTCTTCGGGTGTTGTGACGACTTGAAACATGAACAGGTGCGATAAGCAACTTAAATGCCGAGTACAGCCCCGAGGGAATTTTTGCATGTGCAACTTAAATGAATACGTATAAAAACATATTAACAGGTTATTACTTTGTGAAATAAGGTGAAACGGCGACATCGACGTGCTTACGGAAGTTTTTCGCACTTACATATTACGTCGTAGGTAAATAACATGAAGACAAACAACATCTATAAAAATTTAATTGAAAGTGATAACACTGGTTATTTTCGTTTGTTTGATAATACTGTGTATACATGTAGTAAATGGTTGGAGTACTCGAAGAGGTTTAGCCGCACTTCACAAGTCTGAATGATAACGAAGTTTTTCAATAAACAATAAGAATGGCTGCGATAGACGTTTCCCTCTTATGTGGAGTGCTATTTTTACGCTTTAATCGTCGAAGATAAAATGTAACACGCAAAATAATACTAGTGCCAATTCAAGTCTAGCACTAGTGAATAATTTCAAGACTGCAATGCAATACTGATTGTCTAGCTAGAATTTTACGACGGTGTTTTTTATTAGACCAATTTTCTTATACCTATCACAATTTTCCGTTTTTCTTCGATTTTACAATTTTTTGGTATCAGTTTTTCGTTTTTTATTTTCTTGTTTTTTTCAATTTTTCGATTTGTAATTTTTCAATTTTGCAATTTTTCGATATTACAGTTTTTCATCCTTAGATTTTTCGTTTCTCAATTTTTAATTTTTCGATTTTTTAATTCTTCGTTTCAAGTTCTTGATTTTGATTTTTCATTTTCCCGTCTTTTCTAGATTTCGTATCACAATTTTTTATTTTTTCATTACCTTTATGTCTTCAATGTTTCTTTTAGTTTTATAACTTTCTGTTTATTCAATTTCTCAATTCCTTGATTTTCCAATTTCTTTAATATTCAATATTTTGTTTTTTCTATTTGCACTTTTTCGTTTTAATTTTTCCATTTTTGTTATTCGAAAAGTTGAAAAATCGAAAAATTGAAACACTGAAAAACTGAAAAGCCGGGAAACTAACATTGACAGATCGAAAAATTGAAAAATTAAATATGGATAAACGGAAACAGTGAAAACCAAAAAATTGCAAAGCGAAAAATTGAAAATTTTCACATTGTAAAAAAAAAATATAAAATTAGAACATTGAAAAACCGCAACATTGAAAAAAGAAATGAAAAATCGAAAAATTATAAATTGAAAAGTGGTGAAATTGCAAAATTGAAGGGGAAAATTGAAAAAACTGAAATTAAAAAAAAAGTGTAAAAATGAAAAATTGATGAATCGAGAAAAATTGAAAACTCGGTTTAATCATTTTTCGTTTCCTCAACTTTGGTTTTTTTCAATTTTTCGACTTCTCTTCGACTTTTCGATTTGTAGTTTTTCAATTTTGCAATTTTTAGATGTCTCAGTTTCCCAATTTTTAATTCTTCAAGTTCTTGATATCAATTTTTCATTTTCCAGAAAATTTAAATTCCGTTTTCTCGATTTCACATTCACACATTTCACACATTTCATTTCCTTTATTTTTTCAATGTTTCTTCTGCTTTTATAATTTTCTGTTTATTGAATCTTTCATCTTTTGATTTTTCCAATTCCTTCATTTTCCAATTTCTTTAATTTTCAAGATTTCAATTTTACAATCTTCCGTTCTTTCTATTTTGCACTTTTCCGTTTCTCAATATGTATTTGATCTTTTGATTTCTCAATTTTTCGATTTATCGAAGGTTTTTTATTTTTTATTTTTCAATCGTACAATTTTGCAATTTATTCATTTTTTATTTGAAAAGTTGAAAAATCGAAAACGTAAAAAATAATAATGGTAATAAAAATGATGAATCGAACGATTGAAAGAAGGAAGAACGAATCGAATTGACAAATTTGAAAACCTAAAAATTGTAACAACGAAAAATTATAGATGGAATCGTCAAAATTGAAAAACCAAAAAACTGTAACATTGACACTGAAAAATCAAATATCGATAAATCGAAACACTGAAAACCGCTAAAAAAGAAAAATGATAAAATTAGAACATTGAAAAAATAAAGAAATGAAAAATCGAAAAATTATAAACTGAAAACAAGTGAAATTGCAAATCGAAAAATTGAAGAGGGGAAACATTGAAAACTCGGTTTCATAATTTTTCGTTTCTTCAATATATCTGTTTCAAGTTCTAGATCTTAATTTTTAATTTTCCTAAATATTGACCTTCCATTTGCTCGATTTCACATCACAAATTTTCATTTTTTCATTTCCTTTATTTTTTCAATGTTTCTTTCGATTTTATAATTTTCAGTTTATTCAATTTTTCAATTTCTTGATTTTCCAATTTCTTTAATTTTCAATATTTAAATTTTACAATATTTCGTTTTTTCTATTTGGCACTTTTTCCTTTTTTTTAAGTTTCTCAATATTTGATTGATATTTGGATTTTTCAATGTTTCGTTTCTTCAATTTTTCTAGGTCTGATTTCCAATTATTAGGTTTATCAAAGTCTGTTCTGTATACGTTTTTTCGTTTTTGATTTTTCAACAGTACAATTTTGCAATTTATTCATTTTCTTTATTCGAAAAGTTGAGAAATCGAAAAATTAAAAACCGGAAAACTAAAAAATCGGAAAACTAAAAAACCGGAAAAAATTTAAAAATCAACAAAAATTGGTGAAACATTGTAAAGAAGAAAAAACGCAACGAATCGAAAAGTTTTAACACTAAAAATTGTAAAATCGAATATATAGAATCGTCAAAATTGAAAAGCCGAGAAACTACCATTGAGAGATCGAAAAATTGGACATTTTTCGCATGAAAAAAGAAAAATTAGAAAATTAGAACAGTGGAAAACCGCAAAATTTCTAAAAATAAAGAAAAAAGAAAAACGGAAACGAAACATTGCAAGTAAAAAAAATAAAGAAATGAAAAATTAAAAATTGAAAACTAGTGAAGTTGAACAAATCGAGAAATTAAAACATTTAAAAGTTTGAAACTCAGAAAATTGCAAATCGAGAAATTGAAGAGGGAAAACATTGAAATTAAAAAAGATGTAAGGAGTATATTATAAAATCGGCACATCGAAAAATTAAAAATTGAAAACTCGAGAAACTTTAAATCGAAAAATTTCAAAATCTAAAAAGTGGAGAAAAAAAATAATGAAAAATTGAACTGAAAAATTCAAGCCAAAAAAAGCTGGGGGAGTGTTATTTACGCCACTGATTTTTCCTTAATAGAGTTTATCATAAAACAGAAAATCCAGACAATTTTAATAGTTTTTCAAAAAATCGCGATTTGTTGGGCTGCACTTACTAACTTCGAAATTTTTTAGCCACACTATAAGCCGTTTTAAAAATAAAAATTAGCAAGGTATGGCATTATCTTATAGGATAAAATTTTTAAAACAAATAGTAAAACTTCTATCTAAGTATGTGGGGTCAAAAATATGGAGGTCATTTTTACACTCCAGGTGATGCGAGTTTGCTTATCAATATTTTTTTATCTATTTACATGATAAACCTGACGCAAATCAAACACTTCGGTTTTATCTCTCTAACCAACAGTCAACAGACAAAAAGACGCCACACAGACAGAAAACCGAGACCGTATTTTTTTCTATTCCATTTTGACAAATTAATTACATCTAAGTTTAGCTCAGCAGAGATTACCTGACACGACTGAAAGTTGCACACTAAATCTTTAAATGCATTAAAACCGGATCAATGCAATAAAAAATCGAGTTTTAAGTGAAACACAAAACATCGCTTTCATTAATTTTTGAAATAGTTAGCATATTTTGCTTATTTATGTGCATACCTGAAGAGAATTTCATTATTGATAACATCATCAAAATTTATTTTAAATATGCATTTTTGATTGCGAAGTCATAAATACCATACAAATTTATACATTAGCATTACTATTAAGCATAGCATTATTATTCAACCAACAGAATGTTAAATAATTCTACTTAAAAAAAACTTGAACATTTATTTGCAAAACAAGTTAATTTGCCCATGGAGAATATTCATAATAAGCACTTATTCTTTAACTACGCTGATAATAATATCAAAGAAATTACTACAAGTTTCCAAGAAAAATTTAAATATGCTAAACATATGTAGAAGCAAAAACGAACCTCAAATGTGCCAAAACCCTTGTAATTATTTTTAATATCACTGATATTGTAAATATATTAGAAATAAAAAAGTTAGCACATATTGTTTTTGGCTTGTTTATCAGCACAATGGTAGCAATTTTCCTTTACCCACGCTGTACCTCACGATAGACATTTTTAATAATGGTAATTTTGTATGTAGACCTATATTCGTAACGATTACGTTGTTTTGTAATAGCATTTAAAAATAAACTTTACTGTGGATTACGATATTTTTAACGTAATTTTTAGAACAACTGGTAATTTCAAAACTAAATCATAAATACCAGTAATTAATCATACACTACCAAAAGTACAGTAAAAAGATTAAGCCTTATCCAGCACCTATAGTCTATACTTAGCAATTTATTGTTATAATCTCGATCACTCTTTCCACTTTTGCATCACCACGTGGACATAACAACAATAACAAAAACTTTTTCAGCTCTTCCTCGCCAACAAACCCACAAATAAAAATGCATCAACGTCACTCTATGCTCTCATTTCTTTGTCCCCAGCTGGCGCCTCACGTCTGCGATTAAAACAGCAAACCGATTTCCCCAAAACTCGTTAAAAGTTGAGCAAAATTTCGGCCATTCATCACGAATTCAAGTGCGTTTCGCAACGAAACGAGCAATTATCCACAAACCGGCGGCTGGCAAGGGACCTCGACGTCTCCTACAAAAATACATCCTCTAGTGTTTACCTTCGGTGATCCAGTCACGTGGCCGTCGGATTCGAACCGAAATATTTAGGCTATAATCACGATCTAAAAATACCGGTGTTGTTTAATAAATTTAAACGACGTCAACGGCCATCGTTAATAATGGTCATTATTCTTTCCAACAACGGTGACTATGCAACTAGGAAATAATAAAAGATGCATAAAAACGCCCGTTCGCTCACCGACCTTATTAACATTTCCCTGTTTGATTATCCAACTCGCGATTTCAAGGCCTGCGTTATTTCCATTTGTTGTTGTTGACTCGGATTCTTATGGTTCGACAACAAGGAGATTACGTCATGGCGCGACGGACATCTGGATGAAACGCTGGTTCGGGTGGAAACGGGAAACGATGAGGGGCAAATTAATGGAGGAAATTGGAGCGACGCAACAGTGCTAAGGAATTTTTAAAATCGACTATAGTCTAGTTGACTTTGAACTGAATCTGGAAAACCCAAACAAATCAAAACCAATGTTGCCATTTTACGGCGGCAATCGACATTTTCATTGTGTGCGAAATCCCATCATTACCCCTTGGTTACTCAAGATTACAAAATTATGTAGTTTATGTAAACAATAATAATATAAGCTAATAATATCTACAATTTTAAATTTGTGATTTGATAGAATCATTATCTATCAATAAGAGATGGTAATTCTCATGTGACGACCATTATGCTTGATCTTAAGGTTAAAAAATGCCCTCGGCGATCATTGGAAAACGCCAGAAACAACTGTAAATCAAGATTGTTTACATTTAAATTTCAGCGTTCTCTAAACATTCGTGGAAATAAAATAGGGCAGTTTGCAGTATGAGCCAAAGACGACTGTTGCAGTTTCACGTATTTTGTGTTGCCTAGTCGCACTCAATCCCGTTCCACACACTCAAACACCGTGCATTCAAGTGCATTTTTCTAAAAATCAATTACCCGAAGAAAGTGAAACTCCACCACGTAACAATCGCTCCTCTAGAAGCCAACAACCAGACGTAACTTTTTCCCTAATGCGCGTTCGTCGCGTCTTATCACACTTCCTAGCACTCACCCATTAGCAAACCCACTTAACTCCTCTCCTACAATCATCGGCTTCCATTTCTTGGACAAACAACACTCAACAAGTGTTATCTCACCTTGGAAACACGATGACACTAAAGATGAGCCGGTACGTTTCTTTTTACGGCGTTTCCTCTTGGCCTCCTCCTTGCGACGGGCTAGTTCTTTGGCGCGGGCATCGGCGTCCATCTGGTCGCCGCTGTCGGAGGCGGATCCTCCACCGCCCGTGCAGCCCCCGATGCTGTCGCCATTGGTAACGCCGCCATTGCATTCTGAAACAACGACCGATGTTCAGTTCATTTTCAGCATGTGCAGCGATGATGAAAAACCCGCAGGCCTATAACGGAGGCCTCGCCCAGGTTGTCGACCCCTTGCGACACTTTTCTTGCTTTTTCGAAATGAAATATGGGCAAGGACGGTGGCCATGGGAGGTGAGCTAATTTTGACGCGGGCTCGGTGGGGATTAAGTACGGGATTTAAATCGACTCTGTGCTAATGGGAGGTTATGAGCGAAGTTGAGGTTATTCGCTGGGGACGCCACTGGTTAAAGGGTTTTATTTGACAAGTTTATCTAAGTAGCGAGCAAGATGTGTCAAGTGTCACTCTTTATATACCCATTTATTAAAGCACGTTACGTTATTTCCTCTAAAGATTAAAATATGTGACGGTAAAAAAGAACCCAATAATGAAATGAGCAAAAAAAGCGATCGAGTTTTCTTTGAAATTGGAAGATAGAATGGTAAATAAATACGAAGTTCAACTTTATGATCAAAGATAATTTTTTCTTTATCGGGTGTTACTAAAAAAAAAAGATTCATCGTAAAACTTATCATTCAATTAATATATATATAATACCATGAGATAGCACCTATAAAACTATTAAATATCAACAACATAAAAATTTCAACTATGCTACACAAAGCATCACCGGATCTAATTTTTTTTCTTGGAAAGTGCATTTTTTTATTTTGAGATCTGCATTGTCCTTTGTTCTTCCATATTCCATGTTTACAGTCTCATAAAATTACATGTCATTATTTTTACTTCCTGAACGTGAACTAAGGAAGTGTTGTATTGTAATCGATTTTTATCAAATTTTATATATGTATTAGTAATATCGTATAGATGGGAATCATTAACCAAAATTTCGATAAACATTCCCACCAACAATAGGATGAAGGCAATTCCAACATTTAAATTAGTAAATATTATTTCAATTTCATAAAATAAGATAATCCTTCACGTGTGGCTTATGAATTCGTGTCCAGTTTTTAACCCCAGAGATCCAAATTTTTAACTTTGAAACTGTAAAAGTGAATGCTCTGGAATCTTGCAAACGTTTTAAGCTTATTGAAATATGCAAAATATTATGACTCTATAATTGTGGTTTCTCAATGCAGTCATAGATTTTAGAATTAATTATACAGCTGACTCAAAAAAAAAATCACATTTTTTAAATTTTGCAATTTTTGGATTGCTCAAATATCCGATTTTCCGATTTCTTTAATTTCCACTATTTTAATTTTACAATATATACATATTTTTGTTTTTTGATTTGAAGTTTCTCAGTTTTTAGTCTTTAGATTTTTCGTTTGTTCTTGATTTCCAATTTTTTGATTTTTCAATTTCACAATTTTGGATTTTTTTAATTTTTCAATGTTTCGGTTTTATAATTTTTGGTTTTTTCAATTTTTCAATTTCTCGACTCCCAAATTTTAAAATTTTTCCTTTCTTCAATTAAATTATTTGATTCTTCAGTTGATCATTTTTTAATTATTTGTTTCCTCACTTTTTCAAAGTCTTAATTCCTATCTTTCAATTTCCAGATTTATTAATGTTTCCATTTCCCTTATTTTTTCAATGATTCTTTCGATTTCATAATTTTTTGTTTATTCCACTTTTCAAAATTTCAATCTTTGGCTTTTCCATCTCTCGACTTTGATTTTTGCATTTTTTAAATTTTGCAATTTTTGGATTTCTCAACTATCCGATTTTCCGATTATTTTAATTATCAATATTTTTTGTTTTTTTGTTTAAGTTGCCCGGTTTTTAATCTTTCGATTTTTCGTTTGTTCTTGATTTCCAATTTTTTGATTTTTCATTTCACAATTTTGCAACTTTTCAATTTTTCAATGTTTCGGTTTCATAATTTTTACGTTTCTTCAATTTCTCGACTCCCAAATTTTTAAACTTTTCGTTTCTTCAATTCTTCCATATTATTAAATTATTTGATTTTGCAGTTGCTCAATTTTTAATTTTTCGTTTTCTCAATTTTTCAAAGTATTAATTTTTATTTTTCATTTTCTTAATTTTTTTCAATGATTCTTTCGATTTCAAAATTTTTTGTTTATACTATTTTTCAATTTTCAAATTTTCAATCTCTGGCTTTTCAATATCTGAACTTTTTAATTTTTGAATTTTTTTAAATTTTGCAATTTTTGTATTTCTCAACTATCCGATTTTACAATGCATACTTTTGTTTTTTTTTATTTTAAAGTTTCTCAGTGTTTAATCCTTCGATTTTTCGTTTTTTTTTTCATTTTTTATTCGAAAAGTTGAAATATCCAGAAATTAAAGAGCGAAAACTAAAAAATTGAAAAAAAAAGAATTGCAACTCGAAGAACTCCAGAAACCAAAAAGTAAAACATTGAAAACTAAAAATCGAAAAGCGAAAAAATTAAAAATCGAATAAACGAAAAAGTTTTCAAATCAATTTTACCAATTTTGAAAAATTCAAAAATGGTAAAATTGCAAATGAAAAACTGAACAAACAAAAAATTGGAAAATCGTGAAACTGAAAATGTAAATTTGAAAAAACGGAAAATTGAAAATCGAAAAAACGAATCGAATCGAAAAATTGGAAAACCCAAAAACCACTAAACCGAAAAATTATAGAATCGTCAAAATTGTGAAGTCGAAAAATTGTAAGATTGAAAAATTAAATATCGGAAAATTAAAAATCAAATAAATGAGGAAGTTTTAAAATGTATGTAACAAATGACAAAAAATGGAAAAACCCTCATATTGTAAAATTCAAAAATTTTTAAAATTGTAACCATTACATATTTAAAATGAAAGCTAGAGCAAATCAAAAACTGAAGACACGAAAGATTAAAAATTAGAAAAACGGAAGACTTAAAAATTGAACAATCCAAAAACTGAAAAATTTCACAATAAAAAGGGACAAATTATTATATCCGATCCTTGAAAAATCCAATAATTGAAAAAATAATGAAAACAAAAAAACGAAACGAAAAACTGAAGAAACAAAAAATCGAAGAGTTGAAAAATTAGCCAAAATCGCATTTTTTTAAACAATTTTTCCAAGAAGCGGCATTTGTTGGGCTTAACAGTGAAATATTTCTTCGACCACGTCTCAAAATGTAACACTAATGTTATAAACGAAAAATAAAAATTTTTTTGGTGCCCCAATCGGTGAAATTAGTTTTTAATTGAATCGTTCCTTGACGTCATGGCATCGTTAATGTAAAACCCAGCTGACACGACATTAAATTTATGGCCAAATTTAGTGATCATAAAATCCGATAAAAACGCAATCGAAGATTTCATTTTTCCCATATTAGAAATTAATTTAGTTTTAAAATTAGTGTCAAACGGCCGGACAATTAATTATCATCTCACAGTTAAATCCAAAAATTGAAAAAATGGCACCAAGCTTTGGGTATTTCTTTTCTTACTAAATTTCAAAATGAGGTTATGTTTTGTGACACAATTTTTTACCATATTTGTATGTGTGTAATATTACGGAAACGCATAAATATAACCGTTTGCATTACAATTTCGATTTCTAATGTACTCGAGAGTGAAAATTAATTCAAAAAGGAAAAAAACAAACACACTTCTGCTCTAGTCCAAGAGTTTTATGTATTTCATATACGCATTTTTTGACTTAGTACAAATAATAATAACACAAACTTTTTGTAAAATTAACTTTCCTTCTTTGAACTTTGCGCCACTAAAATAGCAAAACTTTTCCCTGTTGATTTGTTTACAATAAAAACACGACTTTTGCATTCCGAGTCCCGATTTCTTGGTAACTGTAACATTTTATCATAATTAGCTGTTCTATAATTATTTTCCTCTGTTTTTGATTGTGTTGAATAAACAGAAAGCTCTCTGCAACACACAAATTGTGCTAAAAACACGTTTACTCTGTTTTCTCTTACATATTTTTTTGCACTAAAGCCAGTATAAAAAACCTCAAGATTAAATAGTTAAAATAAACAAAAACAAAATAATAAAATACAAACCGACGACGGGTACATGTGTGTTAATATTTTACTGCGAACTTGCTGACCTTACATTATATTCAGTCCTCTTTTTTAATTTTATCTGTGCAATAATAAAACTGTGCATTTACTCGTTTTTTGCAACGATCTCATTAGTTCCACCTAATCAGTTAATTACTCTCAGCACTCGACATTTTTTCACCTTGATTCAGAATACTAACTAGATAAAAATAAAAAAAATGTGATCGTTAATTCAAGCACGTGTTTTAGCTGGCAATTTTAGACGCAGAAACAGTTGTGGCAACAAATTAATTCAAAGACGCCATCTAACACAAACAAGCTTTACTCCTGCACCGAAATGTCAACCGAATCAGACAAATGTGAAGGAAGTTGGCATTTATCGCGGCTTGTAAGAACAGGAAGTTCGGTACTAATCCGAGATAAATTAACAGCGCAAAGTCGATTGAGCCGTAAAAACAAAAGGTCTGTAATTATTGCAAATTCAATTTCGGGAAACCACTAATTAATGCCATAAATTGTGGATCCAGCTCCACCCGCAACGTCTCGACAGCCATATTAATCGGGAAGTGAACCCTTGAGAGGTGTTCCACTTTCGGTTAATCTAACATTAATTGAACCGCGTTTTGGGCTTGTGTCTGACTCTCCCACACTCAGGAGTAGAAAGTTGCCACGGCGATGTATGCACGACCTGTCAAAGAACCGTCCATATTTTATATCTGCCAGTGGCGTATCACGTTTGAGCTCGAGGCGGAAATCATCACTGGCCATTACTTTGTGATGAATGTACATTTTACAACCCGGAAAGACCAAAGACGAAATTTCCACGGAAAAGAGATTTCCGTCGAAATTACATAATCGATAAAAATACACCACGATATTGAAAATCTGCCAAATAATCAGCACGTGCTTGGATTAACGACCACTTTTTTTTTTATATTTATATCTATTGAATATTCTAAATCAATATTTTGGTTTGGTTTGTGTTGACAGATCGGAACAGC